TCTCCGACTCGGAGTCAGAGTCTCGGGCGTCCAAACGCTCTCGTCATGGTTCTGAAGTAGGCCATGCGATCGACGCGATCATGGACGGGACGTACAACTCGTACGACGAGGACGAAGGTCCTACGACTCAGGATCCACTTGATTGGGGATCAGACGGTCAGTACGACATCGATGACGAGCTGGCTAACGCCGCCGGCTTAGGGGAGGACTTTGATGCTGGGTCAGTCCTTTCAGCTTCTATTCCCAAGCGACCTACTAACCCTGCGCTTCATACAGCCGCATGTAGTAGTAGACGCACTAGGTCTACTTTAAAGAGACGTAGTATTCGCAGTCGTAGTCGCAGTGTAACGAATGAATATATCAGTAGTTCGTTGCACAAATCAGTTGGTTGTCGGCATTCGCGCGATTTCGCTGCGTGCACCAAATGTAAGGGAAAAGCTAAGGCTTGGCATGAACCAGAGCTGGTTGAGTCGTCAGACTCCTGGATGTTGGACTCTGGAGCATCATTACATTTTTCCAACAATTTAGATGATTTTGCTGAGATTGAGGACCTCAGTGAGCCAATCGTCTTGTCGACCGCAAACGGCTCTGCCGTATGCACAAAGCGTGGGACAGTCTTCTTGAACTTCGAGAATGACGATGGTAGTCATACAACGACCAGATTATTCCCCGTTTATTACTTCCAAGGTCTTCATCAACGTCTCCTATCCATGGGAACGTTCCTCCGTGAAGGAATGACAGTGCGCGGTGGTGCGCAGCACGTCGACCTCTATGAACAAGGAGCGCGTGAACCACTATATGTGTTCAAGCCGCGGCACCCTAGTTCGACGATATTCGAAATACAGTCCTTGCCTTCACAGGACGCAATGAGTATCCATCAGACAGTTTATTCTGTCGACTACCACACTATGCATCGCCGCCTAGGACATCCTTCTAAGGACGTACTACGGCAAGCACAGAAACACACCGAGGGTTTCCCACCTTCGATAGAGTTCCCTAGGGAGGATCCTATATGCCCAGGATGCGCGGAAGGGAAAATGCATAACAAAGCATTCCCGCCATCTACGTTGAGAGCGACAGAGCCCTTCGAGCTCATTCACTCTGATGTGAAGTCGTTTCCCATCGACTCCTACCATAAGTATAGGTACTACATCCTGTACTATGATGACTACACTTCCAATGCATGGACAGTGAATCTGCGCAACAAGAGTGCTGCGATCACGGCCACGCGCCAATTCTTAGCCATGGCCAAAAACCAGTACGGCAAGAAGGTTAAGAAGTGGATGTCAGATGCTGGGGGAGAATACAAGTCCGAAGCATTTGACAAAATGCTGAAAGACGAGGGTATCCAGATCCTGCAAAGTTCGCCGCACACTCCTCAGGAGAATGGCAGAGCTGAGCGACTCAACAGGACTATAATGGACAAAGCTGAGGCCATGCGCCATGAAGCGTGTCTACCTGAATCCTGGTGGGAATTTGCGGTTGAGCACGCTGTTCATCTCTACAACAGGACACCTGTCCGACGTCTCAAATGGCGTACCCCCTATGAGATGTTAAATGGCGAGGCTCCCAGCATCAAGCACCTAAGAATATTTGGGTGCGGCGCATATGTATTCATACCGAAAGATGTGCGCCAGAATACACTATCTCGGAAATCTGAGTTAATGGTGTACCTCGGAGTTGCCCCTGGTGGGCATGGGGCGCGATTCATGCGCAGCCCTAATAATGTGCTTTACACTTCATCGAACGCTCTGTTTGATGAACTCATGTTCCCTAAATGCCCGGACATGAAACGGCGAGGCAACACTAGGTTGCAATCTGCACCTAGACCTGACCAAGCGGGTCGCCAACCCACTTCTCAGGAGAATTATGATAACGATGACAACGATCATCCCTCTCATCACCTTCCAAAGGGAGCGGACAATGAGCGTGACGATGCTCAGGAGCAGCCTAGGGCGCCCAGTCCAGTTCCGCCGCCTCAACCTCCGGAAGAGCCAGCGCGCGATGATGCGCCGCGGCGCTCAGGGAGAGAGCGGAAGCCAGTAACCCGCCCAGGGAATGTCTATGGGGAAAAACGGACCCCCGTAGAAATATACAAAGAGATCGAAAAGAAGGGGCAATGGAAGAAGATTGTCGGAGAAGAGCCGGGTAGCTCCCGCTCTCAACCGCAGTCAAGGCAGCAACCGGTTCCCGGACCTAGTTCTGCGCCTGATCCACAGCCAGACCAACCTTCTGGATCCTCCTCGGGCTCTGACGACGACGAAGTCGAAGAGTTACTCATGGCACAACTATGCCGGGAAGGGGGAGTAGGATTGGTTAACATGCTGCTTGCAAAAGCGCTACCACTAGTTGACCAAGATTCTCCGAAGTCCAGCGTACGCGAATGGACATTCCGTGATATCTCGAAGCTACCTAAAGAGGAGCAAGAGAAGTGGAAAGCTGCATGTCGCGAAGAGTTAGAGGCTCTGCGCAAGCGTGGTGTTTACGAGTTGGTTGACCGTCCTAAGGGACGTAGGGTTACCAAAAACCGCTGGGTCTTCGACGTCAAAACTGACGGACGAAAGAAGGCTAGACTAGTCGCAAAAGGCTACTCCCAGATTGAAGGCCTCGATTACGATCAGGTTTTCTCTCCAGTCGTTCGCTTTGAGACCGTGCGCCTTATACTCGCGCTAGCTGCGCTCGAGGGCATGCACATCTCCGGACTCGACGTCCGTAATGCGTACCTCTATGGTAAACTCGACGAGGAGATTTACATGGAGCAGCCTGAAGGCTTTAAAGTCAAAGGCCAAGAGCACAGAGTCCTCCGGCTATTGCGTGCTCTCTATGGACTCAAACAGGCAGGGTTAGCGTGGTGGCGCACCCTAAATGAGTCTCTCAAGGAACTCGGCTTTACACGCCTTGTATCCGACGCCGGAATTTTCATCTATAAGACGAAAGATGGACGTTTCGTCCTAGTCATAGTCTATGTGGATGATGCCCTATTTTGTGGCAAAGACAAGGCCCTTGTAGCCAAACTCAAGAACCGCTTCATGAAGAAGTGGGAGTGTCGCGACCTAGGCGACGTCAAGGAGTTCTTGCGTATGCGCATTACTCGGAAAGGCGACGAGATTCATCTCGATCAAACTGCCTACCTTGAGACTGTGCTGCAGCGCTGCGGCATGCAGAATGCAAAATCTGCGCCTACTCCACTCCCTGCGGGTTACAAACCTGAGCCACACACTGGCCCAGTTGATCCTGCACTTCGAAGCCGGTATCAGACCGTCATCGGCTCCTTGCTATATATCATGCTCGGAACTCGACCTGACATCTGCTTTGCCGTGACTAAACTCGCGCAACAAGCTGCGAATCCGTCACAGGACCACTTGGACAAAGCGCTATATATCTGCCGCTACCTCGTGGGTACCAAGTCCTATGCGCTTGTATACAGCGGCAAATCTGGACAAGGTGTCTCGGCATGCACAGACTCTGACTGGGCCAATGACCCAGAGATGAGACGGTCTCAGAGTGGCTACTTTATGAAGTTGGCGAACGGAGTGTTCAGTTGGCTGTCTCGACGGCAAAAGACGGTTGCACTGTCTTCAACTGAGGCTGAATACATGTCGCTCAGCGACTGTAGCCGCCAAGTCGTCTGGGTTAAGATGCTCCTCAAGGAGATCGGTTACCTACTTGGCGCACTCCCTATCTGCTCGGATAACCAAGGAGCGATATTCATCGGCTCCAACCCTGTAACTGAGAGGCGGTCGAAGCACATCGACATACGCTACCATTACATCAGGGAACTGATTGAGGAGAAGCAAGTCGAGCTCTTCTACATCAGTACCGATGAAAATCCAGCAGACCTGTTCACCAAGAACTTAGGCCGTGTCAAATTCCTTAAGTTTAGAGGAATGCTCGGACTTAGATTCTATGAATCGTCCTAGAGCACCATCGGCAGCGTTATGCGCCTAGTACGCTTATGTGAGTCTACGACGCACTAAGCGAGGGGGAGTGTTGAACTAGGAAGGCGCCTACCGGGCTGCCGGGTTCAATCACAGGCCGGACCGGTTCTATGGGAAGCTCCGGGTCCGTGATGTCATCTATGATGTCATCTGTGTGTTATCACATGGCTACGCCACATACCTTGTATGTCGTGGGAACGTACTATACAGTAGCTTAGATAAGCGGTCTCCTCATGTATATAAGGACCCCAGTAGCGTAGCTCAATCCCCAGTACCTTCAGTCGAAGTACTTGCGTGTGCATCAAGCATCAGCAACCTTGCAGGTAAGTTGTGAGGGCGCACCACTGCGTGGAGCTGCCTGCTCAACAAGCCTCTCAGCACAGCCTCGACCCTCCGACTAACCCGGCAGTGCTGCAAAAACGGGGATATGACGACGGGACTGGGCTAGCTGGAGAAGGAATAGGACGACTGAGGATAGGGGAGGTGAGACAAGACCGGAAGAAAGTAAGAGTCAGACGGACACTTACCGATAACGCGCGCATACGAACACGGAAGAGCCAAGCAACCGAGAAGATAAGAAGACAGCACGACCGCAAGGCCGCGCGTCGAGCATCAGTGAACGCGACGAAGAGAGGGACGCGCGCGCGCAAGAGGTCGCCACCGAAGGTTGGAGTTACCAACGCAGCGGTAACCAACCAATGGGGCGCGGACTTAACGGTGCAGACGCGCCCGGGCCTGTACAGCTTCGATCACGATCGAGCGCCCGGGGCGGTAGCGCTTGAACCTTGGGCGCGTGCCACGTCAACCGACCTCCCTCCCGCCACCCTCGTTCTTCGTCATGCAGCCTCGACCTCCCTACCTCACTCTGAAGTCCGGACCCTCGGATTTACGAACACGGCCGCCAGGAGACACTTAGCAGGAGCTTTACCAAGAAAGCGAGGACTTAGCGCGACAGGATGGGCTATAGGTGAGCCCCCTACTACGTATATAAGCTCCTCGAATGGACTCGACGGAATCCCCGTCCTCGCCCCGTCTGCCCCGCCTGGCTACGACACGCCCCTCATGTCCGCACCCATCAACATCCCACGTCACACGGTAGGCACCGTCTACACTGACGTCTCGCCCTACGAAGAAGTCGTCCGACCGGACCCTACGCTTCCTCGCGGGTATGTTCACCCGTCCGTGCTCGCTCACCTAATGCGTGAAGACGAGGTGAGCACCGATCGCGTCTACCGTCGTGCATCGTGCGTCCTCGGCAGCCTGCACTGCGTCCAGCGGGGCAGCTTCGAGGACGAACATGGACGCTGCACGATCTTCACGTGCCGCGACAGCTCACTCGCCCTCCAGAACCCGGACGAGCTCGGCACAGGCATCGCACAAGGTGACGCAACCGTCTACTTTCGGCAGGGCGATCGTCGTCCATCTGATCGCTTCCTAACGTCCACCGTCTACGCTCGGGACTCTTCGCCACGCTCTCTGCGCGGGGCTGGCTACACCGACCACCTGGAGCCTCGCCCTCCTCGACCGACTCCCTACTCCCAGCCCAACCTCCCTCCTACGCCAGTCACGCCGCGCAACCACGGACGACGCAACCATGCGCGTCGCGCGGCGCAGTCAATGGTTGCGCCGCGCACCACAACTACCATGCACGCTCCGCACGCGATCGGTGTCGGAGCACCCCCGTACCACACCAGCGCCTTCGACCGATACGCCTACCAGCCGTCAACATTCCCGACCCCTTATAGCTCCACCATCCCGGAACGAACGACAGACCCGCGTATTGCTCTCGCCGAGCGCCGTGCACGCCAAGATCAACTGACCGCCCGGCCTCAACAGCCGTGGTCGTCGTATGTACCTCCACTCCCCTCCCTGACGCGGATGTACCCCTACCACGACGACGTGGCAGTACTGCGTGCTGCGGCTGTCGGCAGCGCTGCTGGCTGCGCGGCTGTCACCTCTTCGTCAACCCTGCCGCACACGTCGCCTGGCCCGGCGGCACCGGCCCCGTCGTCTGCGTCCTCTGCCCTTGCTCGATCAACCTCACCTCGTCTACAGTACCCGCCGAGCCGCGCGGCCAGCCCGTCCACTCCCGCAACATCGCCTCCCCCTCTGCAATCACCATCGCCACTAACTCTACCCTCGGCGCTGCAGCCCATCAAGGCGATCAAGGATGTTACAATGGAGGAAGACGGCTTCGAGTTTCTGGACCCGGCCGAGACGAAAGCCAAGGCCAGGGAGCTTGCAAGGGAGGAAGGTGAGCACTCGCCGACCCCTGAAGAACGCGCACGCTGGGCACGCGCCGACGAACTCGACTCGGACACAATCGTCATCGACGCCGAGGACCTCCCGAACGCGACGCTTCGGAAGGGGAAATCGACGACCTCGTCGCCGCAACCCGACAGCAAGCCGGCCCAGACATTCCGCGAGCTCCTAGCCAAAGTCTCCGAGGAGTACGAGCCTCACAACGAGGCAGACTCGTCTTACGAGACGGACGATGCAATGACGTCCAAGGTACGCCGCTATCCCGACATGGAGATCCTCCTCCATAAACTAACGGATGCGACCACCTCTGCCACACACCCCATGGATCGATATACCATCGACATCGTTCGCATCGCGCTCGTTAAGGCCTACCGCGCGGTACGTGCGCGTGCTCGGCGTGAGGGTCTGGCTGATTTCCGACAGCAGCAGACAGCGAAAAGGACGGGCAAGAAAACATCCAAGAAGCACAACCGCTGCGCCCGCAAACCGTCCGAAGATTCCTTTCGGACCAACCATCTTCTGCACGAGAAGGAACGCGAGGGCTTCGGTGAGCTCCGAGCCTTCTTCTCGGGCCGACGCACCACTGACCCTCAGCGCCAAATCGACGACACCGACACCGTCCTCGCGCTCATCGACGTCGCACTCGCCTTCGACCCGACTCATGAATATGCGCTTGTCCTGCGCTCGCTGTGCATGCGCGGCGACTTCGGCGGCCCAGGCGAGTACCCGGGACACTAAAGTTAGCAAGCTCGAAACTGCCCTTGCTCTCCTGTACGTCGTGACAGGATCTTCGCGGTATCTAGTCACTGACGTTACGGAACAGCGAGTTAGCAGACGGCTAGCCCACCCTCGGAATATTCACGACACACGGCCCCTCAAAAGGCTGGCTCTCCGCCAGCCACCCCCAATAGATGTGCTTTCTGTTTGCCCTCACGTGTATTCATCTATTCATCTTCTGCTGTATCCCTATGCCTCGGTAACGGTCTCGGTCGCTCATCCAGATTTTCGTTCAGATTATATTGGTTTTACTCTACCTACACATGATTCCGGAGCACTGCGACACACGCTAGAGTGTCTCGCAGCGCACGGCATCTTCGTTTCTCGACTCAATTCGATGTGGTTCCTCCCCTATGCTTCCCTCTTTGCTCTTTTGTTCCTGATACGACATGGCCTCTGTACTATAGGTTCTCATCCCAGTCTCTCAATGATAGATTTCCCCCCTGTTACGTTCTCGTTACTGTATTCTCTGCCTTGTGTTCTGCGTGGTGTACGACTTACTGTAGAAAAACCCCCGAAAAGCCCCGAATATAATCCGTATATTCGGTACTTGCTCGGGTGTGATGAGCTAACTCCATCAACAAGAAGCATACAACTACAACGCAAAATCACGCACCCGATCTCTGCTCATTCATACAGCATGAACGAGACTAGTGATTGTCACGTCAGCCAGCCGAATTACTCGCGAAGACATCTAATAACCAACGTACCTTCCACGACCAATATCAGTGTCACGCCTCAAACCTTCGCCCTCGAGCACCGAGCCTGCGCAGGTGCAGGCAATTGCGCGAGCTGGTTCATCACTGGAAACATATCGCCGTCGCGGAACGCAACACTCTGTGGTAGTCGCGGCAGCTTACACATTGTAATCATCGACCGGTCTTGCGATCGTCTCGGCCCACTGGTAAACACAGACGTTAGTACTCAACAAATACTACGCAACGCACCTATGAAACCGGCCCTACACCAACAGCTTCAACCCGAGCGAACCGATGTGTCGGAACGTGAGGCGAGTAGCCAGCGCAACCAATGCGCATTCCCTTGTGACGGGGTTGACGATGAAAAGTACGAGCCAGATGAGATACAAGAGAACACGGGCGCGAAGAAGATGGAGTGCGGAATGTTCGTTGGATTGATCACTCTCAGCGAGGAGGAGGACGAGCGCGACAGCGAGAGCGAGGTCGTGTTGGCCGAAGACCGAGACGCGCTAGCACGTGCGCTGGAGTTAGACGCCGATGAGGAGCTACTTGCCTTCTATGGTAACGACGTACTTGCAGCTTACAAACGCGTCGACCGACGAGTCAAACCCGTCCCCGGTGTATTCCCTGAAGATGCACGCGTTGAACGACGCTTCCCTGAAGACCCACTCGCATCGTTGGCGCCATTAACGATGCATCCGCCCGATTTCAAACCCGGGAAACACCTAACTCGGGAACGTCTTGATGAAATTAACATCAACTCGCAGGGATTTCTCTGGCCAGAAGAAGAGAAGCTATTCGAACATATCCTCCGCCTCAATGAGAACGCACTTGCCTTTGAGGAATCACAACGTGGAACATTCAGAGAGGATTATTTCACACCGTACATCATTCCGGTCGTCCCGCACGAGCCATGGGAATATGCAAACATTCCCATTCCGCCTGGCATCAAGGAAAAGGTCATTGCATTGCTCAAGGAGAAAATCTCAGCTGGTGTATATGAGCCTAGCCAGTCATCATACCGGTCCCGATGGTTCTGTGTTGTCAAGAAGAACGGAAAGTTGCGCATTGTCCACGATCTGCAGCCACTCAACAAAGTAACCATCCGCGATGCTGGTCTACCTCCAAAGGTAGATGAGTTTGTGGAGGACTTTGCGGGACGAAAGTGCTATACTGTCTTTGACTTGTTCTGGGGCTTTGATGCTCGAAAGGTACACCCCATGAGCAGGGACATGACATCGTTTCAGACTCCGCTAGGACTGGTGCGCATCACATCGCTGCCTATGGGGTTCACCAACTCTCCTGCAGAATTCCAGACATGCATGGCCTTCATTCTTCAGGACGAAATCCCTTCCACAGCCAACATATTCATCGATGATCTGCCAATACGAGGACCTGCAACAGACTATCCAGATGAGAACGGAGACCCAGAAGTACTCCATGAGAACCCAGGAATCCGACGGTTTGTCTGGGAACATGCCAATGATGTTCATCACATTATGCACCGAGTGGGACATGCAGGAGCAACATTTGCACCTAGTAAGGCTCAGATCTGTTGCCCTGAAGTGGTCATCGTAGGACAAAAATGTACCCCCGAAGGAAGGCTCCCTGAACCCAACAAGGTTGACAAGATCCTCAACTGGCCAGTACTCAAGAATGTTCACGACATCCGCGCTTTCATGGGCCTATGTGGCACTGTTCGCATATGGATCCACAACTACTCCAAAGTTGCTCGTCCATTGACTCAACTCTTGCACAAAGATGCTGAGTTTGAATGGACTCCGCTCTGCCAGGAAGCCTTTGATGCCCTCAAGACAGCTGTCATCTCAGCACCAGCACTTCGCCCAGTTGACTACAGCACCGACAATCCAGTAGTACTCTCGGTGGATTCCAGCAAGTATGCAGTCGGATTCATCTTGTCACAATATGATGAAGCTGGACGCAAGCGACCTGCCCGGTATGGATCCATACCCATGTCGGAACGGGAATCACGCTATTCGCAGCCAAAGTTGGAACTATATGGCCTGTACCGCGCACTCAGAGCATACCGGCTATATCTCACTGGAGTCAAGAACTTGGAGGTTGAAGTGGATGCTAAGTACATCAAAGGAATGCTGAATGAACCAGACCTACAACCTAATGCCACAATCAACCGATGGATACAAGGTGTTCTCTTGTTCACATTCAAACTCATTCATGTGCCCGCGGAACGACATCGAGGACCCGATGCTCTGTCTCGACGCCCCTTAGGAGAAGGAGAGGAGGTTGAAGAAGATGATGACTCTTGGCTGGACGACATAGCCTTGTATGCGGAGATCCGCGACCGTCAGAACAAATGGAGCAAGCCTCAAGACCAGCCATATGAAGCACTGCTCAGCGCAAGTCATGCTGATGTGTTCATCTCAGCTAATACCAAGGCAGACAAGGTGCTTCATCAATACCAGAAGTTCCTGACAACAGCAGCAATCCCTGAGTTCCCTACTCAACAAGCAAAGCGAAGGTTCATTCAAGGAGCAAGCCGGTACTTTGTTAGGAATGGGAAGCTATATCGACGCAATGGATCACAACCCCCACGTTTGGTGATTCTCAAGGCTGAGAAGCGCCTGGAGATCCTTACTCAGTCACATGAAGGATTAGGCCACCGAGGAGAACAAGCCGTGATGCATACTGTCAAAGAGCGATTCTATTGGCCTAGCATGTGGAACGACATACGACACCATGTACGATCTTGCAAGCAGTGTCAGATCCGCAGTGTGCGCAAGGTAGAAGTACCCCTCATGGTCTCAACCCCAGCAACTATCTTCACGAAAGTCTACCTTGATATCATGGAGATGCCAAAAGCCAATAGCTTCAAATACGTCATTGCTGCCCGAGATGATCTGTCAAGAGCTGGAGAAGGAAGGTCACTGAGGAACAAGAAGGCAAAATCAGTGTCGATCTTCTTCTTTGAGCAGATCCTATGTCGATACGGAGCAGTTGGAGAAGTTGTGACTGACAATGGCCCTGAATTCAAGGAAGCATTCCAGCTTCTGATGAACCGATACAAGTTGCCACAGATCAAGATTTCAGCTTACAACTCGAAGGCCAATGGAGTAGTGGAACGAGGTCATTTCATCATTCGGGAATCAATCCTCAAGTCATGCGAAGGCAACGTGGACAAGTGGCCTGACTATGTTCAGCATGCGTTCTTCACTGATCGTGTCACAGTTAGTCAGTCTACTGGCTTCTCACCGTACTATCTTCTGTATGGTGTAGAACCAGTACTACCATTTGACCTAGCAGAAATGACTTTGTTAGTAGATGGCTTTCACTCGGGAATGTCTACCTCAGACTTGCTCGCACTACGCATTCGCCAACTCATGAAGAAACCGGATGACATAGCTCAAGCTGCAAGCCTCTTGAAGAAGACACGCTTCCGATCCAAGGAAATCTTCGAGCGACGCTATGAACGGAGATTGCGCCGAGAAGTGTACAAGCCAGGAGATCTAGTGCTTGTGCGCAACAAGGCAGTTGAACAGAGTGCTGACCGCAAGCATCATCCGCGCTACTTAGGTCCTTTCCAGGTTGTTCGACAGACCAAAGGAGGATCCTATGTTGTTTCTGAACTAGATGGAGCAATATGGCGACAAGGAGTGGCAGCATTCAGGCTGTTGCCATTCATATCAAGAGAACAAGTTGAGGAGCTTAACTGGATGGATGAAGACGAGGATGATGAGGATGAAGAAGATCTAGAGGATGTTGATTGGAATGAGGAGGAGATTTCCAGCAGCAGCTCTACAGACGATGAAGATCAGGAGGAAGACCTATAGTGGAAACAGTCATCCAGATGTCCCAGGAGTAGGAGGGTGCAACTGGGGACAGTTGCATTTTCTTGTGCCGACCAGATGTCCTGAGCCAAAAGTGTTTGGCTCAAGGAACATGCACAGAGAATAGCCTAGACTCAAGCCCCAAGGATCCTGAATCAGCAAGAGCCCCAGTTTCTAGGAGACGCAGCCACATGGACCCCGATTACCAAGCATTCTAGGTTCACACCCCAAACTCAAGGACTGACTCATGCTGTACAAATGGCTGACTCATGCTGTACAAATGACTGACTCACACGGTGCAACGGCTGACTCATGCTGTCCAATGGCTGACTCATGCTGGTTGACGGATGACTCACACTGTGTCATGGCTGACTCATGCTGTGAAACAGATGACTCATGCTGTGAAATGGATGACTCATGCTGTGAAATGGATGACTCAAGCTGTGCAGATGGATGACTCAGGCTATGTATCCTTGGATGACTCAGGCTGTGTATTGGACGACTAAGGGTTTGTCAGCTCATGTAATTAGTATTAGATCAGCCTGTTCCCCATGTATATAAGGACTCACGGCGCAGGGAGCAGGCAAGCAAGTACGTAGGAGAGCAATCCCCCCGGCAACTCGTGCCCCCTTATTGCCCACCTCACTGAGTAGTTCGCAAGCTGCTCCCTAGCCAAGCAATTTAGTATCGGTAGCCCAAAGTCAACGTGTGACTGTAAGCTTCTGCTAAGTGCTACACTAGTGCTCTTGTTTGGGTAAGCTGTGATCCATAACCAGCAACTTCATTCTCGTCTAGCCACGCTCGTCTCTCAAGTCCAAGATCAGCCTCACGTCAAGAATACTCGCCACGCTCGCCTATTGTCCCAAGATCATTTGAGCAGTCAACCTGCTTGTAGTAAGTACTAACTGTGCCTACTGATCTATCTTTGCAGAACACTATAGTATCTCTTGTGTGTTTCCCCTCCACAACGAACAACTGTGATAGCCCGGTATTACTGCCATACCCGGTGAACCGCAGCAGAAACCATTTCTGACCTGACAGCGGGCGGCTTGATGCTTCTCTGCTGACATAAGGCACAGTTGTGCCAGTCCTCACTGCAAGTCGTGAGCCCTTGTTCGGAAGTCCCGGGCCGAGCGTTCACGTGCAGTGAGGGCGGGAAGGAGTCTGCATCCAGCCACTCTCGTCTCCAACATGCGATGCTCCGCAGTCGTAGGCGGTGCTGCAACGCCATCTGACGCCATTCTGAGCTGCATCTTCGTAACAACCGGCGCTATGAAACTCCCGGGCGCTCGATCCCACACTGCCTCGCTGTCAAAACTGTCATGATCCTTCCGATGGTTCGAAATTGCGTTCACTGCCAACGAATATCAAATCCCGGCTGGCTCGGACTCTGAATCATCCTCGTTAGCGATGAGAATCTAGGACAGCCCCCTAAGAAGCGCACCGGAGATTCCATAGTTCCGGCTTCCTTGCTGGAAAGGGCTGTGTTGCAGCCACGGGGCCCAACCCCAAAACTGCGCTGGGAGTCACGATGGAAGCTGCGGACTGAGTTTGAGTCAGCAGACGGGAACTCCATTCCTCGTGGGGACTGTGAAAGGGGTTACAGCGCGACATAGAACTGTGATATGGCGACATATTTCGGGGGTAGAAGCCCGCGTTTTGGAACCACATGGTCACCTCGGATAATCATATCACAGCCTTCGAACCCCTATGCTCCTCGTGTTGCAGACCGGTGACCGGATCTAGAGCGCTGGGAACAGCATGGCGCATCAGGGTCAAGGCTGTGGAAATCGATAGGCGGTGCAAGTCGAGACACATTTGGGGGATTCAACCGGGAAAATGGGGGTTGCGGACTCACCTCTGAGATCCGCCCGACCACAGCTTCGTCCAGAATGAATAGTACAGCCTCCACAAATAACGGGCAGTTTCATCCGATGATGGTAACCGCTTAGGGGCTGAATATCACAAGGGGGCGGTGTGCTAGACGAACAAGAAGATGCCCCTGACACGGGGACCTCGGTCTGAGAATCGCAACACAGCCGACAACGATTTGACGGTTGACAGCGGAAACAATCAAGGGCTGGAGCACAGGGACATTGTCACGTCGTGATAAGCGCCTGGATAATCGCCTGACGGGCTTGCCAAAAAAGGGCATTGAACAAAAGTTTTGCGTCCTAATACCTGATCAAACAGCGACAGCTGGCGGACGCGGGAGCAAACAAACAAGCGCGGGACGTGTCATGATCACGGTGACCCGCATGGCACGAGAGACAGTACTCCTCCACAGATACGAAGCCAGGGAGACGGAACTGTACTTCTCACTTCGATGCTCCGTTCACAATATACAGCGCTTGGGCAGGCGGTAGGCTAGGATGTCCGAGACGTTCGACTCCTCCTGCAAGTATCCCAACGCGGTACATCGCCAATAGCTGTTGAGATGGACAGATCAATTTTTCCGCGCAATCTAGACATACAAAGACTCACGTTGTGCGCAGCATTCGAATGTTCATACATGCCCCCAAAGAACGCGGCGGTCACGTCTTTTCCGGTATTTTGAGCGAGCAGCTCGGCGCCGCCGGGATGGTCATCAATGAACGAAGACACGTCATGTATATATCCAGATATAAGCAGGAGAGCCCTGCCATGGGCTTCCTTTTGAACTATTCACGCCGTGTCAGTGATGCGACTCGTGAACATTTGACGAGATAGCAAATGCAACGTACATGTATCCCAGGCAACAATTGGAAGCTCTTCTGGTCGCAAGGGCCACTTAAGGGAGTCCTGAATCGTCTTCAGGTCCTTCAGCTTCATGCTAAGGATGCCCTTCTCGATCTCGTTGCTCGGGAACTTTCTGAGATTCGTAGCGAGGCCAAGGACGTTGCATACGGCGATGAACCACTTGGTTGGGTCATACTGGTACCATCGGAAAGCGTTGCGATAATCCATAGGGAATTGATGGTGGAAGTTGTGGTAACCTTCGCCCATGGTGAGTAGCGCGGATAGAAGATGATCGCGTGGCGATAACTTGTCGTCATACGTAGCATCGCCGAGGTAGTGCACGATCGAGTTGATGCAGAAGGTGCTCTAAGGGAAACTCAATTATCAATCAAGTCTTTGTGTAGCGTAAACGTACTTACATGGTGACATGCGGTCATCCTCAATGCGACCGCAAAACAGAAACCCCCACTCCAGTCGCCCCACAGAAGGCCACAGAAAAGCAATGGCACAATACATCCGGAGGCGAGGGCAAGAGGGAAGTACCACCGATGTTGCCATTGCACGAGAGCGTCCTTCTTGAGATCAGAGACGTCAGCCGCACCGGGTCGCAAGTCAGTCCGGAATATCATCCACCCGACGTGGGACCAAAAGAGGCCCCGCTGTACATTGTAGGGGTCCTTGTCCGTGTCCGTGTGGCGATGATGTGATCTGTGGTGGCGGGCCCACCAGTAGCAGGAACCTTGTACGGAAGACGTAGCCGACATCATGAGGACGATTTGTAGCGCGCGGTGGGCCCTGTACGTCCTATGCGACCAAAGCCGATGGTAACCTGAGAACGATGCATCAATGAGAGGTATCGGCGAGATGGCAAAACAGATTGCGGACCCGCAGTAATCCCTGGAAAACGGACGTGAGCCACATTGATACAACAACAGATTTGACAGATTTGACCTAGCATAGACACCGAATACAGGACAAAGGTGCATAAGGCGGTTTCTCTGATTATGGGAACTGAGCATAGACCATACAGCGCGATTCCAGGAGCAACAAGAAGCACTGTTAGATTGAACCATTGCACCCCCTTTACTGCGGGTAAAGCACTCAGTCCCAGACTGATAGCCAACTGAGAAAGCATGAGCGATGGCCCGGGGGATATTCGCCGTACGAAGGTGGGCGAGCTGTTCAGTTATGAGATAGCGCTGTGAGATAGCCCATGGATGGACCGCATCATGCATACATATTGGGAATCATCAAAATTCCGGACGACCTGGAAGTTGCTGAGATTTGAACGCAGAACAAATTCCCGGATGGCGGTGTCGGAATTCTTCATCGGGTATGATCATTGATGCCCACTCACGATATGATTGATTCGATAGTAGATAATATTTTGGTATATAAAGCGTACCGTAGCTCTCATGTACGGTACGAGCTTGGACCGCAATACCCCACCGGTATTTTCCTTTCTACGCGGTTAACATCCCCCCAGCCGCGTCTCTCAACAGATCGCACATTCATTTCGACAGGCGGGGCTATACCACACCAGCGACACTGAATGTACTAGAAGCCGGTGGCACCGATCTATTCCATCACGACTCGCGGACTTAGCCGCGAGAGCGCGCCCGCAGGTAATCAGAAGTCTAGTATGATATGCACTCCTCAATTTTCGGATTGCAACGTATACAGCGTCGGCCCACCTAATGCTAGAGCTGCCGGACGATATCGTCCAAACGGATCGTGCTGTCGATAGAGTCGTGCTCAATCCACCAGCACCACGTCACATCCGTCTAGTACGCACTTATGACTTTGACACTGCAGGATAGTGATGTTGCTGCGAGACTGCAGAATGTCTGCGACCTGGATACGACCGCTTCTGTTCAGTGTTCTTGAGTGCGACCTCTCATGAATTCATCCACTGCTCATGTCATACTTGACTTTCAGTCCGTCTAGATAGGACCTCCTTCTTATAAATGAACAACGCTTCCAGGCCGTTCTGATAAGATGTGGCATCGTGTGTTCCGTAAGTTTCATTATTCTCCACTACTTGGTTCAAGACTTGCTCAGTCATCGTACAGCGTGAGACGTACCACCGAACGGAAAGCTTCCTAGCTTACTATAGTCGTGCAGCTGAGCTTTCTGCGGGCTAAATCGTGCACAGGATGCCTGCGACGACGGCCCAGTTGTAACTCATCAGTGTCTCAGCGGCGAAGTCTATACAATGCCTCGCGCTCAGCCCTTCTCCGAATGAGGCATGCGAATTCACATGCCATAGGGCTGCTACGCGTCTCCTGCGCCGGTGTGTTCCAGAGGTGACCGTTAACATACATCGGGGCGCTCATCGACATTGGTACAGCTCTTCATGGTGCGTGGATCACCTGTTCTCTCGTGCTCTCTGAGCTGAGTTTGCATTCTGATAGAAGTGCATGCCACGGGCGCCGTGTAAGCCTTCTAGCGGAACTCTGGCACCCTCTATCCTGGAGTGGATCTGACTATCCGGTGGTCTATCCGGTGAGTGCGACTCTGTCAGCCGAATGGATGCTACACTGATGTACGCGTCACAGTGCCAATGCCTCCGACAACCGTGTGACGATTGCTCACGTGAGCGTGACGACTCGCGACCATCAGCCGGAATCCGAGAACATCGAACAAGTCCGCAACTGCTGCCTTGACCCGAACCATGTACTTTCGGACTCTCTTATTGGACCGGATTCAAGCTGGTGCTGTGGAAGCCTGTACTACCGCCAGTGACACAGGGGCGCCAGCAATGCGGACTGACAGCTGCACTGCAGATAATATGATACGTCCGAGTCGAGCTCTGCCAGTGGTATGATTATCCCTTGTCCTTGGGGGTAATGCACGTCTCTCCCGACGTCAGCAATTGTCAAATCTGCTATAAAGCTTCTACGTCGACTTCTGTGCGCATTCATCTTGTTGAATACTTCGACGCAGTACCGCGACGTTGCGCCATCCCTCGCTGTTCAGCCTCCCGAAGTTCAAGTATTCGACAACCTCAGGCTCACGGAGGATGCCTATAGCTACTAGCACCCCACCTCTTGATCTCAACTCCACAGTTGGCTGCATGCTCGTCGGTGCACTGTTCTCTGTACTGTATGTTGCTTCGGTGCATAATCTCGAAATGTCCGGCACAGTGACTCCGTTGCAGGTTTTACGGCTTGACGTGCGCTCAAGTCGTGTACTACTCGTCGGCTTACTACAGCAGCGACAAGGCACTCGTAAAGGCATTCGTAAGTTCCATCGTTCTTTTTTGTCCACTCCGAGCCCTTCAATTTACCAAAATTTGAGGTTTATGGCATAACGTTGGTAGAGGAGCTTCATACTCGGTCGTACGGCGTTGACGAGATCGACAAGGGTATTTGACACAATTATCACTGCGTTGGATGTTGCGGTATGTGTCCGTGATATATCCTAGGTCTCGTTTGTTTATTGGACGTAAACACTGGCCATGGGAAGACTGCATGGGCCCTTGTCATCGAGAGTCATGCCAATCCGCCAAGTCTTCTAGGCGTGCCAAGGTATGTATCTGATCGCATTGCTGGTATTGTATCTGACGTAGGACTTCGCATAGAGTGTACCCCGTGAGTGTTGTATCTGTTGTCTCAAGTCTACCCATTGTTCATCTATACCGCCGCAATGTAGGCTGAGTATGTTCTGGCGGTGCGTATCTCTTATCTCTTCTCCAATCACAACCGGACGATGTCAGATGACTGACGTCCGGACAGCGCCTTGTCATATGTGCTGTACAAATGTGCTGAAGTCTCTTGTCGAACATATGAACGCATGTACTTACTGCCATCTTCAGGTTCTATATCCATGGGCTCTGGTCACGTAAGCTATACGCCGCAGATTGTCGTTAACTCACTCTCACCCATTTCAGTGCTCACGTGGTTTGGATCAACGTACAAAGCACGTTTGGCGATCACGGTGCCCCCGGTAGGTCCCCATTTCTGTGCGTCCCAGTATTATATGCGTATCTGAGGGATGTGTCTGTTTCCAGATCTGCCTGTCTCTGGTGGCTCTCGGTGAGTCTCGTACCAAGCAGTATGTCATCAAATGTATGCTGACCATGGCCGGAACGATATTAGTATTTGGCCTCGGTGAGATCCTGGCATAACGTCGAATGGAGCATAGGAGTGGCTGATCAATCTTTTTGCCGGCAGTTGGAGATTACAAACTTGTGTATGTAGGGTTGGACATCGTAACTGTGTATGATCGAATGCTAATATCATCCCAGAACACGGGATTTGAATCACCAGAAGGCACTTTTGGGGTTCGAGGTGTGCCTTCTACACAAACGTGATCCATGGTCATGCATAGACTCTTGACATTCATACAGGTTGAGACTGTAGCCACTCAATGTGGTGCTGCACTGGCAGATCTATGCATATGTGTATCTCTTTGCTGGACGCTGCGCGGCGCACGCTCAGGGTTCAAACGGTGAATTGCCTTACTCTATAGCTCCCCTTACAAAAACTCACCGCGGTCATGCCAAGCACCGACAATATGATCCGTGTACTTACAAATTATATAGTCAATCGCGGAATTCTCTTGACGTGAGTTGCTATTGTTGCACTTGCCTAGATTTCTCACGTGAGGAATGGCTGCCTTCCAGCGCGATGCAGTTCGTAAACTTGGGAGTGGTTCGTCTTCTGGCTCTCAACACTCCACAAGTGACCTGAATTCAAGGTGTTGTGATAGTTCATGTACTGCGTTAAGACTCTTACATTTTCATGGGTTCCATTGTCCTATATTCTGTTGAAAGGTAAGTTACGTCCTGTTTGGTTCATTGCACCATTTCATTAGCACATACTACAGTGTACATCAACTCAATGATGGCTGTGTGAGTCATACGTTCATCTCCTGTATAATCTGCTGAATGATAGTCCTTCACAATCTTTGCAGCCTGAATGCTCGTCGACACCTCATTGCAGGTGAGGTGTCGTATATATCAAGTTTCACGGACGACGTGGCAATATATGTCGTTGGAACCAGCACTAAGGGTGCTCCAATTATAGAGAGCGTTCCGTTGTCAACGTTCAGAACCTAACATGTATTATTTGCTTGCTTGGTAGTAACTGCAGAAGTATTGATCTCCATGTCATGATTTGAGGTCTCACTGTCACTGTCTGAACGCATGAACAAGGCTCGTCTGCCATGCTAACTCGCAGTAGTCATTCCATGAGTCAGTCCAGCAGCGCGAAGGCAGGGTGGCAAATGAGGCATCCAGTAGCGGGGATCGCCCGTGTAGAATGTCTAGTGCATGAAGGATCACCGAAGGCTCGTTACAGGAGGTGTCGCCGTCATAAGCTACCGATCTGCGCGCTCTGTGAAAGGTGTGTTAGTAATCCAATCAGTAGTACAGTATCACTGACGAAGACATAGTACAGCCATTACGCAAAGAGGCGAGATTACCGAAGGAGCAAGGAAGAGTCATTTCACCGTAAGAAACAACAACGTGAACGCGCCTCTGCTTCAAAGTGGCCCGCATAGGTCAAGATGTACGGCTATCCACAGCGGTGTCGACGAGGAGTTTCCCAGCGCGACTACCGCGCTCTAGCGGTTGACATCTCTAGTCATGAAGACGAACATACTCCACACGAATGCAGAATAGACCGGGTGCATCTCATTGAAATATTGACTGGTTATTCAACAATGACCGCGTGCAATACGGTGATAACAGTGATCGAATAATACCACAACAACGGACGAAGCCTGCACGTTACTAGTCGGTACACCTAAGACGGAGTCATTGCAAGGGTTACATATGCGGCACCTGCGGCGGCAATGCCGAACATGTACCAAAGCTTGCCCATGATGGAGCCCCCTCCGTTGCGCGGCGGAAGGCGAGGGTGCAGCAACATGTTCAAGCGCTTCAGCGCCGCCGGCTGGTCATGCACAAATGGTGAGCGACAGTCCACATACGACAGCGGAGAAGCGGCGATTGTATGTGGCGGTACTCACATTGTAGGGCGTGTACCGCGCAGACATTGCAGTGTAGTCGATTCTGAGCCCCAATCAGCGTCGTCCAACATGGTCGCAGCGAAGAAACCAAGCCGCACCAATTGGGGTTGTCGACGGTGCACCTGAAGTGTGTGAAGTCGTCGAATGCTGCCTTGCCGGTCGAGTAGCCATCTGAGGGGTGCTCAGCAGCCACACTTACAGTCGCTGGCGCCAAATCCTCCGAACGGCGCGTCATTGGCTATCGCACGAGATCAACATCGGCAGCGCGTTCAGCGAACGCGAAACAGACCCATGACGTGCAGAATTGTTTCGTTCGTGGACGCGGTACCGCTCTGCGTGTTGTCCATGACTGCGCAGAGTGGTCAGTCGGCAGATACATTCGCTTTGCATCTGTCCGCACCTTTGTTCTTGAACTTGCTGTCGTTCGTAAAGACATAGACACAGAGCGCCTCCTCCCTGCATGCCTCGTGAGTTCCCCGCGTAGCGAGAGCATACGACGACTCACATGCTGTTGATGAAAGCGATGGCGTCGTCGACATCCTTAACAGGCACTACGGGTAGCAATGGCCCAAAGACCCAAAGAGTTCCCTGTGCAGACCGGCCAGTCGCACGCAGAGGAGCGCCACGAGGGAACCAGACTCACTCGCTGAGTCGCTCATGAGCGAATCGTCACGCTTCACGTGTCTGATGAGAGTCGGCGCTACGTATCGAGCCTCTCTGTCGACCTCGCCGCCGAACACGATCGTATCCTTGGTGTTGTCGAGCAAGTTCTTCAGACGGTCGACGTGTCGCTCGTTCACGATCCGACCTAGCATACCGGACTTCTTGGGATCGACGGGGTGAAGCTCGTTGTATCTGCACGCAGAGAGCGCGTCAGAACAGGGTAACAGGACAGAGGAGGAACAGCGACGAACGCGTTCTGGAGCGCCTCCACGAACTCGTCTTGAAAGGACTCTGGCACGAGAATGTAGTCCGGACACAAGCACACCTCCGCTCCTCAATCAGCATCGTCTCCAAGAAGGAAGAGTCGCCGATCTAGGCTTGCATACCTGCCCGCCGTTTACAAGCCTGCCCCACATGATGCGCTTGGCGGCCACTTTGACGTTGCACTCGGGATCTATGACGCAGGGGCACTTGCCTAGACGCGTGTTTGGTCATGACCACCTCCCACTCATAAATTGTCAGAAGACTGACCTCCGAGCTGCGAGGACCAACATTGAGCAACGACCTTCTGTAGCTGAGAGGAAGACATACCTCCAAGGCGACGGGAGTCAGATGTTTAGCTGCCGCCGCGCAGATGATCTTCGCAACACGGTTGTTACCTACACGACACGTCAGAATGCATCCGGGATGCACTCCGTCACCCGCGCATTCTCACCTATGTACAGAACTAGACACCCACACTCAGCGAACGATCACATATCCGGAGCGCGTACACTCAACTATGGTTGAAAGGAAGCTCCAGAATCTGCAGATGCCGCGTCAGTCGGAGATTACGACGCCGAACGCACGCGCCAAATACCTTTGTAATCTCGGGGACCCCACCATTCACGACCCGAACCAGCTCCGGATCGAGGTACTTGGGGATAAGATCAGCTAACAACGACGCCGACGCAGGCGATAGCTCCGAGGGCTTCAGCATCACGGTGTTGCCCGCTGCAATGGCAGCCGCCTAATGGGAGCGTTAGTCACGGCGGTCGCTCCACATGGACGACTACACACCACCGGGCACAGAGTGAGAAAGAAGGGATAGTTGAAGGGGCTGATGACGAGTATCACGCCCTTGGGCTCCTTCCTTGTCGTTGGAGACAACGAGAACCACAAGAGGGAGAACGGCGACTTCTTCGGCGCGGACCACTTTTCTATGTTGTCGTATGTATCTTTGAGCTCGAGCAGTACGCCGTTCATCTCGAGCCTGAGCAGCATTAGCACGCAGATTTTGAGGACGTAGACGGATGGGGGACGTACAACTCTGTCTCAAGGTGCGGTCTCCCAAGATCCGACGAAATCGCCTCAGCTCCTGGTTGTCTTCGACCATGTAGCATAGCTGTAGGAGTTGCTGCTTGCGGTATGCAATGGGCCTCGTTCGTCCAGAGCGGAAGGCGGCTCCTAGCTCGTCTCGGATCTGGAGGCGGAAGTAGAGGGTGAGCGACAGGAGATTCTGTAGCAAGGTGCGCACGCGTGTCACCTTGGGTATCTCCTCGAGCGGCGTGTACCCTGACTGCGTTTGCTCTGCCATCGTACAATGGATGAACGGCGTCGGCTGCCGAGCGAAGGTTGCGGAAGCTCGGTGGAGGGTAATTCTGGCGGACTGAAGCGACGCGTCTCTCAAGAAGCGTGCAGGGCGGTCTGGGGTCCCCTTTACCAGAAATGTTCCTCCGCCGGGGAGAAAGTCGCTGCCGTGCGAAACCTAGAAGGCCGCTGCGCCCATGCCTGCCTAGTGTCCGAATGCTCCGCGCGCTGTGGGTGCACCATCCAGGGTAGATGGTCCGTAAGATGGAACCGCAGGAAGAGGACATCCATCTTATCGCATGCACCTGGCACGTTGCTGGCCCGCACACAGCGACCGACGAGCGTACACAGCGCTGCTCTCCAGACTCCTATCATCAGCTGATTCGTTCCTGCGCGTTGCGCGATGCTCACCTGATGCCTGTTCACAGCAAGCCTGTACGGTACGTACTGTCAGAATTCATGAGACGTCGCAGTACTTGCAACAGAGGCGGTCGTGTCCAGCTCGCAGCGCCTATGCCTACGATGACCGTGTGACAATTGCTCACGTGAATGTGACGACTCGCGATCGACAGCGGAGGCCGAGACAAGTGTAGCTCAGGCTGTCTGCTAACCGCTACGTTCTTGCTAGTCCTAGATCTGTCGTCAGTATAACCCATTCATCGACGATGGTTGTCCTTGCTCTCCCGGACCCGGCTGGACAACATCTTCACACTTTCCAATTTCTAGTCGGCATGCACTCGTGCTGCCAGCGACTTGGACATCAAGGCAACGACGACGAGGCAATAAAAGGATTCGTGCTCCGCGAACTTTCGTTTGTCGCGGAAGTATATCAGCAATGGCGCAACTGAATAATACGACGTACGATAGCGGGATTGCTCGGTATGTATGCGTACGCACCGCACTACTATCGCCTCGGCGACTGACGCGGGCTCTCTTCCCTGAACAGGTGTTCAATATTCCCGCGAGCTCTTACTTAGACACTTACCTACTCTGCCCTCCCTTCTGCAGCCACCAGGTCCACCACGAGAGGATAGGCTGTCCGAATGAGGCCGTGGTCGTCCTAACATATCGCCCTCGCGTCCGACTCCCTTACGCGTGCTCGCCGCCCCTCCCGCTAGCGTACACAGGAACCATAACGCTCCGAGGATGGATGATTACGAGCTTTCTCGCGGTATCGACGAGAAACGTTCGAGTAAGCAACGCGTTTGTGTCTCATGCTACGCCTTGCTCATCCGCGTAGACATAAACGTTGTGTCGACAATGATCACACGAACTGTACGCCTCTACTCGCGAGTTGCTACGTCGGAACCAAGTCTGGACCATGGAGGAACGCTTTGCCATCGAGCCGGTGCGTATTTTCCACCGTATCGTGTCCGAGCTATGCTGACGCTGATGTATTGTCGGTCGTGTGCGCTGTAGGCGAGGAGGTACGCATCACAGGTGGTGAGTCGGATCTGTTCTAGTCTTTTGAGTATATCGCTCTCCTACCTTCCTACATTCAACGGCCCTCCTAAGAATTGCAGATGTCACGTCCTTTGTGTCGACTATTCTAATTCGTCTACAACGCTGTCTGTTCTCTCCCGCCCACGCCTTCACCCTCGCCTAAATGCGCTGCACTGGCCCGACGCGTTGCCCGTTTAGTTCTCAGCCATCGTCGTCATCCGCACCATGGCTCTATGCGCATTGCCACGGCTCGTATATGCCCTCCCATCATCGTACACTGTGCGGAGTCGTGTCCTGTCGTACTTGCTCTCGTCTGTTCGTCATGGTCAATCTTGTTTCCCGCGATTTGCCTTGCTTATGCCTTCTCTCGTCCGCTCTCCCATCTCGTCTCCTCGCGCAGCCCGCGCATAGTTTCCCTCGAGTCATCATGTCTGCCCACCCTCGATCATGCACGACGCACGTCCGCACGACGCGTAGAATGCGTATCGGGCCACCGGGAACGTTGCGGTCGTCAATCATGGGCATCCAGCCCACCAGTACTCACTAAACGTCAGAACTGTATGAAATCCACAAGATTCCCCTACTTAACGACTCGGGACAAAATACATCTATGTAGTCACCGTTATGCTGTTCTACACATCGACGCTCCCCATAAGTCGGCCTCCTGCATGCGAATCCGCATCTGAAGTAACCTCTTGGGAGACGAGGATCCGCGCCGCATATTTCTGTTTCTTTGCGGAGCTACAACGTTGAGCAGGGAACAGTGTCGCAGGATGTGAGCCTCGTCACCAACAGTATCTTATTAGAAGTGCATACCTGCCCGAGCTGCCCGAGCCCTTCTTCACGAGCTCGATTTCCCCGACCCTAACTTCGCCGTTACTTGCTCGAAGCCAGTGGCGAACGTTCAACCTGGTTTCGAGTGCAACCATTCAGTATTTCGGTTACATGCCAACGACTTCAAGTGAGAAGCCCGAGAATCGAGCACTAACATCGCAAGCATAGAGTTCGTATATACTGCATAATAGAAAGCGATGAGTGAGATCCTGTACACGGACCGCATTTCGGAGTAGCTACTCACTCTTCCCTCCTGGAAAATGAAATAGAGCCCAATATAGCTTGAGTGTTGCGGAATGGAAGGTACTAGTATACTGTGAATGCAGAACGTTTTGTCTCCAATGTAAGTGGCAACGGCAATATAGTTTCAAGTAAACGACATACGGTGGCGAAATGCAGGAGCTGCATCAAACTACAAAAGGTGGCCATGCGGGCGACGACGATCAGTTATACTGCAGAGTTCGATGCGGTAAACACCTACGCAGTCAAGATACCGCGGTGTATGGTGAATAGGACAAGCTTCGTGATGACTGATCCCGTTCTGTTTAGGCGAGCAAAGCACCGTGGTGTTGAATGTTCATGGAGTGGCGACAGCAGACGGACATTGATCAGTATCGCCCTTACAGTTGACCTGAATTGAACTAGGAAGACGTACCCATAGAATCCCGTCCGCTTTCCTCGCAGAATTATGATCAAAGCCGCAGAGATATACACATCCGTCACAAACGCCGAGATAGTTTGAATCGACCCGTCAACTCTCATCCGAGCCATGCTCACGACCACGTTGGGATTGCGCGATCTGTCATTGGATTGAAGCGGAGGTGTGAGAGGATTTCGAAGCTTGCGCGGACCTTCGGGTCATGCTACTCACCCATCGTACGTCATGCCTAAGGGACAGCTCAGACCGGATTGAATATTGAACTACGAAAAGCTTACCTATACCGGCACCTATGAATAAAGACAAACGAGGTGTCAGGGAAAAGACTATGCCTAGCTGGCGCGGTGCGCATACCCAATGACATCAAGGCAAACATGACCTTATTTCGGCAGGATCGGAGGTAAGTATTGTTCGCACGTGCACACGCGTACTCACCATTGTAGCGGCGATGGTAGTACGATGCCATCGCGGAGCCATGACTGCGTAATCAGTTACATCAATAGAAAATTCCTTGCAGAGGGAAAAACATACAGAGCCATACGCAGTGTATGTAGTATCTTTAGGACCACTATGGCAGAATTGTCGCGGGATAGGTTTGGAAGTTCACTCACAATTGAACAATCAGAACTATCAAGGGCTGCAGCAGTGACGGCCAAGAGTTAGATAAGAACGCATAAAGGAAAAGACCACTGACAGCAAGGAAAATATCAGCCTTGAGTCGTGCGCATCAGCGTCTGTCCAAACAAGACCCCCATATTTGGATGCTCACGATCGCTGTCCTGAGTAGAATTGTATCAGACGTCGTGGTCAGTTCTGGGAAAGCTCGAAAGGACATACTTTGTGAAATTAGCTAAGCCTGAAAGTTGAGCGTGGTTGGTGACAAGGCCCGTCCAAAGGAACTAACGCGATAACAGAGAGATCAATTTACAAGCGCGGTACAACGTCGGAAGACACTCACATGCAAGTCACAGACAGTTCTGGCCGTGTCCAGTAGCCTGAGTAACGTACGATCTGACTGTGAGCGCAGCCCCCGTGTAGTTTCAGCCGCGAGTTCCTACCACAGGATCACGACCTACACGAGTGTGGTGGGTGTCAATGAGACCATCGATCATTCCAAGCAGCGTGAGCTAGCCTCACCAGAGCCTTCTTGTGCCAATGGTCCGTCGAATACTCATGGAAGTAATATTGCGTTTGCGCCAATGAAAGACCGTAAAGGCTGCGTACAGGTCGACCAGATTAGCCGTGTAGTTTTGAACGAATAGAACTGACGCACATCAACTCGAAGAGAATTCCGATGAATTTGCATCCTTCTGTTTCGTTCAAGAAGCTGTTAAGGTTTAATTCAGCCATGGGGAATCCAGCGAGATGACGCGCTGTCGACGATGATATGATACATGGGGAATTATATACTGACAGGCCAGCGCCATATGGACGGTGCGTGGAAGGCACGAACATTAGGACATCACATTGTTACAGGAAGCGAACTTTTGATGAGTTTAAGGGAGCCAGGCGGCATCTGCCAAAACGCAATCATTCCACGTAGAGCTTCACTAGCGACACACACAAAGGACGGAGGTAGGGTTGACAGAACCCCACACCGTGCCACTGCTCCGTCGAAGTGACACAACTGGCTGTGAAGCGTAGCTCTGCGCAAACAAAACATGGATTGAAACCAATGCAGGGACGCCATGAACGCGGAGGGGTGATTGTCATTGGCAACGGATTGACTCGGGGACGCCACGGGCTACATCCTGATATCGCTACTGACGGCGCTCGTCCAGTCAACTTTGATCCGTATCTCCAGTAGTACGCGAAATCAAACCCATGGGTCTTGTTACTTAGGATTTGATGTTGTACAGCGAGTTCTCCGCCGATAATCACCAACCGCAGGCAGATGTGTTTCGCAATAACACGCAGCTCTGGGCCAGTGTGCAGAGGGCGCCCGCCGCGAATGCGGCCTGGAAGAGGCCCGGGGCCTGGCGTGTGGGCGTCGCTCGGACTCGAAGACGGAGGCCACGGAGGCCATGGGCCATGACGGATACCAGGGGGAGGAGCAGGAGGAGAGCCCAATCAGTCACCGAGGCCGCAGGAGGTAGTACGCGTTATCAGTTGAGTACACGGAGAACGAGTAACGAATACCGCGCGGGCGCACGACCGACCGGAGGGACATGATGTCACGTGGCTCGCACCGACACGCGCTTCAGAGCCGCTCAGCGACCACGACCACGACCACCACGACCAGTCACCACAACCACGACCGGTTTCCGGTGCTGTGAGGCTCTACTAGTACCTGGCTCACCGTCGTACTCGCAACGAGGCTTGCTCACCACAACCAGCACACCGTCCTCGCCAACCGCTTCACCGTCCTCACGAATCGCTTGAACGAGCTCCTATCCAATGTCGACGCCCACTCCAATTTATGTCCTTCCTCCATTTCGTCCTCCGGTCTTCCCTCGGCAGCCCCGACGACTGGATAAATGGATACCTCCTCCTACTCCTCCTCCACACTTTTCTCGTCGCTCGCGGCCCGACCAAAGGAATCAAGATTTGTACAATGACTCACTGTCTGAGACGACTGCCCTGGCGCTGCGTGCGCGCACAAGATCAACATTCAGGCGTGCATATCATGTCCCAGCATGCTCGCCCTGTGTGTCGGTTCTGCGCCTGAAGTTGCCAAGTCAGTGGCTTGTTGTGAGGCTGTACCGGTACGGCGCTGGCGCGCAGGGCCATCATGATCTTGTGTGCGATACTGCAGCGTCCAGGCTGGGCGAGCACGCGTACGGTGGGCAAAGTAGGACCGCAGGAAGCCTATCAAGTAGGTATCGCGCAACGCGCAGGAACCATCCGCCAGCAATAGGAGTCTGGAAAGGTCTAAACTCTATATCGAAACGCGGTCGCAGATGGGCCAGCAGCGCTGACTGTACCGTGTACGCTCGACGCTCTCTGTGTGCATGCCAGCAACATGCCAGGTCCATGGGTAAGATGAATGTCGTCTTCCTGCGGTTTCATCTTACGGACGCTCTCCCCTGGACGGTGCGCCGACGCGCGCGGAGCATGACATTGCAGATATGGACGCAACGACCTTCTTAGTTCCGCACGGCAGCGGTACTAGCAAGTGAACGTTGTCGCCGTCAAGAAGTCGAGACGCGCGTGCGCTATCGGTCGGTGGCTAATGGACTCTCCTCCTCTCCGGCGGAGGAACATGCCCACTAATGGGCATTAATCAGTCGGTGAGCGCCGGTTCTGTTCCATCGACTGTAGACAGTAACCGTGACATAGTGCCTTGCAATTGTGTCTGTAGCGAGTATGTTTGAAACAGGCCTCCCGGCGGGAGTGATACGAACCTGTCGCGAGACGGTCATGCACATGTCGCCGTATTCAGGTACGAAGCCAGCTGTTAGAGTTACGTTCACAGATGCATCACAAACTGACATCCCATGATTCCCGCCGGGACTCCAGACTGAGGCTGTCCTGCACGCTTCTTGAGAGCCGCGCCGCTTCCAGTCCGCCAGAACCTCCTCTCCGAGCCTCCCCAACCTTCGCTCGGCGGCTGACGCCATCCATCCATTGCAGACCTCTGACAGCGACGTCATGTTCGCCGCTGTGCTAGTGTTTGGCCTGACACATCGGCGGTAACCATGATGCTGGTTCATGTCCACATACCGATACCTATGTAAGTAGGACAGTATTACGGACGTCGGGCACATGATATGGCGGGGCCATGGTTGCGTCCGACTAGGAGATAGACCTGCCGTTCGGGTTTTTGGGTCGGTTCACGGCCTTGTCCGCACGCGGATGGGACATGTAAGCGCCTTGTCCCGGGTGACGGGTTCCGTCACTGTCAGTCTGTCAGGTTCCGTGGTCTGTGTGGTTCTTTGGGTCGGAAGTTCATATCCGCACAATTGGGTCCTGGAATGATCAACTGTTCGCTTCGATCTCAGCCGTCATATACAGCGTGAAAGCTGAATCCCCTTCGTCCCTTACTCTCGTACAAGGCCCTGCATCATGTCCACTTCCCTGGCCTATACCCCTGTCGATGAGATCCCCCAAGTCAGTCGTCTCTATGTTCTGAGACGAAGCTTATCATATTGATTCTCCCGCCTTCAGATCCACCAAAGCTTGAAGCAGGCCTTCGCTTCAGGGAAGTCTAGGGATATCCACTGGCGCAAGCAGCAGATCCTGAAGCTATGGCATCTTGTCGAGGACAACCTCGACGGCTTCCGCAAGGCCCTCTTTGATGACCTTGGCCGGGCGCCGGAAGAATCGGACGGGTACGGTACCTCTTGTTCGACTGCCCGGTTCATCTACGAACTCATGCGCCTTACTTCAGCACCGAATTGAACTCGCTTCTGCTAGAAATCAAAGCAGCATACAACAACGTGGGGAAATGGTCCCAGACCGAAAAGGCACCCTGGCACTATATGTGGTTTGCCATGTCTCCTGCCACGAGGATCGAGCCCAAGGGTGTCGTGCTCCTCATCACGCCCTTCAACTTCCCACTGTACTTGATTCTTGCCCCATTTGTACGTTCTACATCCCGCTGCACTAGGTGTACGACTGATCACGGATTCGACGTGCCTAACAGGCTGCGGCGATTGCAGCCGGTAACGCTTGCTTGTTGAAACCCTCGGAGGGTGCTCCTGCGTGCTCTTCGCTCCTCGCGGAGTTATTCCCAAAATACATGGACCAAGACTTCTTCCGCGTAGTCAACGGTGCCATACCCGAGACCAGCAAGGTGAGCGCTAGTGCAGATTGAGTGGTGCGGGCCTTGACGAGAGTACGCAGCTCCTTGAGCTTCAATGGGATCACAGTGAGTCTCTTCATCGATACACCGCTTGCAGCCCTCTAAGCGATGGTCTTCTGCATCGAAGTTCTATACACAGGTGAGCACGTACTCGTCCTTTCTCGCGCCCTATTGCCATCTGTATATTTACACGTGCGGTCTGGCAGGAAACGGCACTGTTGCGAGGATTGTGTGCACGGCTGCAGCACAGCATCTGACGCCAGTCACACTCGAGGTGCGTCCAGAGCAAACATGTTACGATCTAGCCTTACTGAAACGTTTCGCAGCTCGGAGGTATGCGTTCTCACTGATTACTGTAACGTGTTGCGCCCTAAGACTAAGTATTGTCCCGCCCGAAGGCAAGAACCCCGCGGTCTTCGACCCGCGAGTCAGCAACCTCAAAGTTGCCGCGAAGCGCTTGATGTGGGGCAAGCTGGCCAACGCCGGGCAGGCAGGTTTCATGCGCTCGATCGAATCCAGATCAGGTGATCTCACCATCCCGTGCCTATTAGATCTGTATGTCGCCGGACTACGCGATCGTGCCGGAGCACTTCCAGGATGCGTTCATCGAGGCGTGTAAGCAGGCATACTATGAGTTGCACCCGAGGGACCCCAAGGAGACGGGGAACATGGCGCGCATCGTGAACGAGCGCCATGCGAAGCGCATCAAGCGGCTGCTCGACAATACCAAGGGCGAGGTTGTCCTAGGAGGCAACATCGATATGGAAACGTACTTTTGCGAGGCAACCATCGTGAAGGACGTCCCGCTCGATGATATCCTTATGAGCGAGTATGTCGTGAAGTCGCGCCGCATGATGTGGAGGCTGAATGTTGCGGTGACAGGGAGATCTTTGGACCGATTCTGCCTATCGTCCCTGTGAAGGACGTCAATGAGGCTATCAAGGTCATCAACAGCCTGTGAGTTGCGACTCGGCATACTTCGTTACCAGAGGGCTCATCCTGGATGCTCTAGGGGTCACGCGCTTGTCCTTCATGTCTTCTCGAGCGACTCGGGATTCAAGAAGAAAGTCTTCGACAACACCCAGAGCGGCCTGGCGATCGCAAACGAGACCCTTCTTCACATTCAGAGTACGTCCCAGCTATGCCGGTATTTCCATACGCCTTCTGACAAATATCTCCAGCCGTGGGTATTCCATTTGGCGGTGTCGGCGCATCCGGACGTAAGTATTTGATTGCTCCTGCTACGTCGATAAACGTGGCTCACTTGTATGTCGTCCAGATGGCGCGACAACTGGGAAAGCGGCGTTTGACGAATTTGTTCACCGGCGGGGCTCTATCGACAGTCCGTTCTGGCTGGACCCTATGATGCTTTTCATGCGCTACCCGCCGTACACAGTGAGTGCCGTCATGTTCGGCGATCTCGACATTGCCGATTGGCTGACAAATGTGTACCTCTCCAGAGCCGGAACACGACGATGCTCAACTTGGTTATGCACCCCAAGCCGCCGGCATAAGCACTAGCCGCATCGCCCTCGGTGGCACCTCTGTAGATGCTTTGTTATACAGGCAAACCGGGGACGGGCATGTTGTTACTATTCGGTCTATTGACGTATTGTATTTCGGGGATGGACTTCTTTGTAGTCGCTCATTCGGGGTTTGTAGTATTGACGCACTCCTTCGCCATTATTTCTGTTGTTTCGTAGGTATTGCACATTCGTGTTGTCAATGCATCGCTGATACCACTGGCAAGGGGGAACATTATCGTGCATTTGGGACTGTCCGTTATTGCTCGATGTAACAGGTAACACGTGCTATAGACCGTGTGTTACTGTCTCACCGTTGAGTCCCGTCAGAAGCCACAAGGTGGGAAGAGGTCCACCGTCAGTTCGCAGACACTCCACCTCCATTACAAGCTTTCGAAGGACATCTGCCGGCTAGGACGTGGATATGAGCTCGCGCTGGTGACCTTGCTGACGAACGCCTTAACGATCTTCATCTCCTTGTAGACTTCGTCGCGGCCGGAAACGTTCTGGCGAGCGTACGTCTCCATGCCAGTTGCAAATGCGCTTCGCTCAGGACAGACGTCAGCGGTTCTGAACTATATAGTTCGCAGGCGCGACCCTCCTTGCGGAGGCGGACACGTTTAGACTCATCAGAGCGGCCCCGGTTGATGCTGACTGAGATGAGTCGGAAGGAATAGTCATCCCGAGATGCTTCGAGACGCATCAAGCTGCAAGAGCGGCCCATCTGTGGTGTTCGCGCGAAGAATCATCGAGGGCGAAGAACAGTCTCAGGCTCATGGTAGTACGTTGCTATGGCGCACTCCCGACTCGTATTCCTGACCAATGTTCCCCTCTCGGACCGTGTCCACACGGTGCTGTTGAGCAGAACGGTGCCTCGCCTATTCGCGTAATGGCTGTACCGTGTCCTCGTAATTGGGCTACCAGCATGGCATCTTTCACAGAGCGCACAGGTCGGTAGCTTATTACGACACTGTGCTGATATTACGGCCATCTTCGGTGATCATTCATCTACTAGACATCCTACATTGGCGATCCCCGCTACTGGATGCCTCATTTGCCACCCTTTCTTCGCACTGCTGGACTGTGTCCGACTGACTCATGAAGCGAGTATTCCGAGTCAGCACAGACGAGGTTTATTCATACGTTATACAGTGAGACCTTAAGCATGACTTGGAGGTAACAACCTTGCAGTCACTACCAGAGGAGGAGATGATACATGTTAGGTTCTCAGGCTGAACGTTGTCAACGGAATGTTCTCTATGATTGTTGCACCCTTAGCGCTGATTCCATCCACATATACTGCCGCGTCGTCCGTGAAACTTGAGATGTAGGACACTCCACCTGCACTGAGGTGTTGACGAGCGTTCAGACTGCAAAGAATGTGAAGGGTCATTATGCATCATGTAAAATAGGATATAAACGAATGACTCACACAGCCATCATTGTGTTGATGTACACTGGAAGATGTGCTGATGAAATGGTGCAACGAAGTAGACATGACGTAACTTACATTTCACCTCAATACAGTTGAATGGAAACCATATAAGCGAGGCAGGCCTGACGCAGTACAATCACTGTCGCAATACCTTGGATTGAGGTCACTGGCGGAGAGTTGAAAGACAGAACACGAACCACTCCCAAGTTTGCGAACTGCATCGCGCTGAAAGGCAGCCATTCCAACCGTGAGAAATGTGGGCAAGCGCAAGGGTAGCAACTCACGTCAAGAGAATCCCGCGATTGACTATATAGCTTGTAAGTACACGTATCATATTGTCGGTGCTTGCAATGACCGCGGTTAGTTCTTATGAGGGGTGCTATAGAGTAAGACAGTTCACCGTTCGAATCCCGATTGTTTTTCGCGCAGTGTCCAGCAAAGAGACACACATATCCATAGGTCTGCCAATGCGGCAGCACAGTAATTGGCTGCGCTCGCAACCTATGTGAATACCAAGAGTCTATGCTTGCCCATGGACCCCAGTTGTATAGAAGGCGCACCTCGTCCACAAGAATCACCTTCTGGATTATCCACTCCTGCGTCCTGGGATCATATTAGCGTGCTGTCATGCACCTTTAGGATGTCCAGCCCTACGTACACAATTTTTTACTCTCCAACTGACGGCACAAAGATTGATCAGCCATTCCTATACTCCATTCGACGTCATGGTAAGATCTCACCGAGGCCAAATACTAGTATAGTTCCCGTGCATGGTCAACATACATTCGATGACGTACTACTTGGTACGAGACCCACCAAAAGCCACCAGGGACAGGCAGATCTATAAAACAGACACATGCCTCCAATACGCATAGAATCCTCGGACGCACAGAAATGGGGACTTACCGGGGGCACCGTGATCGCCGATTTTGCTTTGTACGTTGATCCAAATCGCGTGCGCACTAAAGTGAACGGTGAGCTTGAGTATCAACGACAATCCGCGGCGCATAGCTTACGTGTCCAAAGTCCATGGATATAGAACCTGAGGATAGCAGTACTATAAGTCTATGCGTTCATATGTTCGGCAGAAGATCTCGGCACATTTGTACAGCACATATCACAAAGCGCTGTCCGGACGTCAGCCTGAGTCGTCCGGTTGTTGAGAAGAGATCCGCACCACCAGAAACCACTGAGCCTACATTGCGGCGGATCGCGATGTAGATGAACGATGGGTAGACTTGAACGCGACAAATACACTTACAGCGTATACTCTATGTGAAGTGCTACGTCAGATACGATACCCGCAATGCGATCCCATACATACCTTGGCTCGATCAGACGACTTGGCGGATTGGCATGACCCTCGATGACAAGGGCCCATACAGTCTTCCCATCGCCGGTGTTCTCGTTCAAATCAAACGACACCTAAGATATTTCATGGGCACATACCGCAGCATCCACCGCAGTGATGATTGTGTCCAGTGTCCTTCAATGTCCGAGTCGATCTCGTCAATACCGCACGACCAAGTATGAAGCTGTTCTACCAATATTATGCCATAAACCTCAAATTGGGGTGGTTTTCAGGTATTAGAGTGGACAGAAAACAACGATGAAACTTACAAATGCCTTCATGAGTGCCTTGTCGCTGCTGTAGTAAGCCGACGAGTACTACTATAGTACACAACTTGAGCGCACGTCAAGCCGTAAAACCTGCAACAGATCACTCAGTGTGCCGGACGTTTCGAGATTCCATACAGAAGCGACATACATTGCAGAGAACAGTAAACCGACGAGCGCGCTGCCAACTGTGGGGTTGAGATCAAGAGCTGGGGTACTAATAGCTATAGGCATTCTCCGTGAGCAGTCGTATACTTGAACTTCGGGAGGCTGAACAGCGAGGGATGGCGCAACGTCACAGTACTGCGTCGAAGTATTTAACAAGATGGCTGCGTACAGAAGGACGGCGTGAGAAACTTATAGTAGATTGATGTGTTGCTGATGTCGAACACAGGGACGGAGGAGGAGACTGAGGAGAAGAAGAGGTTCCCATTTAGCCGCAGTGCACAGGTGTTCAAACGTTCACCACACGCAACACCGAATCCCTGCGGATCCGGTGCATCCTGGTGCATCGTTTCTGCGCTGCGGTTCAAATTATCATGATCACCATTGGTACGTCGAGCTGTGGTATGATTATAAATCACTTGTCCGATGAAAGTAAACCAAGTGTCTCACTGACCCTAACTCGCCGCGGCAGGGCGAGGGCATATGTTCCTCTTCTGGGCCAATCAATTCTTACGACTAGTAGTAGTAGCTCCGAGTCGTCCTTGAAAACACCGCCTTGCAGTGACCAGTTAGAAGATGGTCAAGGCAGCTGTGGTTTGTCTCGGCCTCGCTTGTTGATCGCGAGTCGTCACGTCCACGTGAGTGATTGTCACACGGTCGTCGGACTGTGACACTGCGACCTGATAGTCTCCCGTAGCCTGTAGGCAGACCACTGAGATACGACCTCTTTGGAGGGGAGGAGGGCGGTCGTATAGGGCGACCTGGACACGACCGCCTCTAGTAGGCCCTCTAGATCTGTTCTCGAGTGTGGCCTCTCACGGATTCTGACACCAATACGTGCACTACAGGCTTGCTTAACCTCCAGGATTGCAACCATCTGCAACCGAAACTGCGTGGCTTGTACACTGGGCAAGTGTCGCTCTCAGTCATCCGACCCAGAACGCTTTTCGCTCGCGATACTAGCAATTCAGTGCTCAGGCCATACTTGGCCTTCAATACGGCGAGATAGGACGTATAAGTGAACAACTCATCCAGGTCGTTCTGACAAGATGTGCCACCGTGTAGTCCGTCAGTTTCATTATTTTCTACGATTTGTTTCAAGATTCGCTCAATCATTGTACAGCGTGTATCACCGAACGGAAAGCTTCCTAGCCTTCCGGCTGCAATCGAACCTTGCCTGTGATGGGCGCCGGCGGCGTGCAAAGCACACGCATGATACATCGCGGCGGTCAGCTATGCCTCATTCTACTCTTTCCTCCTGCCATCTATCGCTGTCTACCATCTGTCGCCATTTCTTCTGCCCCACAAGTACCCGCGACCCCTCTTCGGCAGGCTCACGAACTTCTGCGGCATGTTCAACGCCGTGCGCGGCAAACAACATCTCAACTTCGAGAGAATGAATACAAAATACTGTCCTATTATGCACTCGGGTAGGCTCTCTTGTGCGCAGCTCCCTGTAGCTCCTGTGACATGCTCCGACAGACCCGAATGTGCCGCTGTCCATAGTGGACACCGATTTGCTTCCCTCCATACCCAGCATGCTACGCGACCTCAGTACGTTTTTTCCACCCTGTTCCACTCTATGAGCTCGAACTGACGGTACACAGTGTGGGATGGGCGCCGCATTTTGAGCAAGCGAGGCCAGTGCACTACCGGGATCAAGAACGGCAGCACATCCTGACCTCATCTGCGCGCGCAACACGCAGGTGCATGTGGAGGCGCTCAAGGTCTGGAACCGCGCATTGCCCACTGCGCCCGTGAAGAAGCACGAGCGGATCGTGATGTCGTCAGGTAGCCCCAGTTGGTTGACCAGCCGAGGGCTGCGGAGGCTGCGTAGAGTGTTTCTCGTGAGTATTCTATGGTAGTCTGTGGTGCCCAGAGGACCATCGCTGATGGGCGTTGCGTAGATTTGACTCCATGGGAGATTTCGCATGAAACGCGATCTCGCGGAAACCATCACTGAACTGAGGTTCGCGTATTCACCACTTCGAGCCCCTTCGACCTTATTCGCGACGGTGACAAGGGCGGTCGATTGAGAACGATGGAAGATGACCTCTTGTACGTAGCCAAGCAAGCTCGAACGCCACTGTCCCAGCCCTGCTCACGCAAGTGAGCAGCGTTCTGAACTTATCGGGGCATGTGCTATGGACCATCCACAAATACGCACTGCACCTTGGCAAGCGCAGTCAGCCAGGATGGATATGACGAGTGACATAGCGAGCTGTACATCATCGAGGATCCCCCATGCGCACCGACGGTAGCTGGAGCATGAGCCGAGCAGGCCACGTGAACCAGTCTCACAGAACTACGAGGGCCTGTGCATGGCGTACGGCCAAGCTACTGGGTCACCGACGTGACAAAGCTCAGTCATCGCTTCCTCACTGCGGACAACCTCAAGCTCTCGGACGAGCTCCGCTGCCACGGCATGTCCCTCATGGTCGCCGTCGTCGTCAACAACATCATGGCTACCTCTACGCGAACACGACTGTGTACCAGCTCACGACCAAGCTCAACCAGGTTCGTGATGCATAGGTTTCGCGTTATATGCGCAAACTCTGACCCTAAACGATGTTAGTTCTGCAACTTCATTGTAAACAGCACGAGCAACTGAGCGTCGACAGAGATGGAGATCCTCACGCAGAGCTACTATGGTCTCGGCTTCCACTAGGGCGACATCTTCACTACCCTGCCGAATATTGGTTCTCTAGTGAGTCATTCAGTCGCTGCACGGTTCTGGAGCTGACTCTGCTCTGCCGATCTAGCCGAAGAACATCACCATCACTGTCTACACATCCTGGGCTGCGTCGAGCGCATGACACCACAACCAGCCTCGCGCACAGGAATAACCTACTCACCACCCGACCACGCCCAAAAATACCTATTACCGAGCCCACCACCGCGCGCACGACTGTACCACGGCCGAGCATGCTCGCGTACTGGTTTGGGCCCTCGAAGCCGCACACATCCGGCGGGTTGAAGAGCGGGTCCGGCATGAAGACCGCGGGCCGGCCGCTCGTGATGTAGTCCATGCAGTCGTGCCGCTGCTCCCGGCGGCGTACTTCTCGCACGAGAGGATCCCGCGAGGGGGTGCGTCAGCTCCAGCCCTGGCTACGAGGGGATCAGACGACTCAGGGTGGCGGCGTGCTTACTCACTAGTGGACTCGACTTTCAGGTTCAATTGTTTACGACAATTGACGTCGGGGTGTTGCATCTCGAGGAGAGGGAGATGGGCTTGTCGTGGTGATGTCCACGCACATGACCTCCGCTGTGACCACCAGTGTTTGGATCTGCATGCACACGATGTATGAGGATGGAGGGTCTCTCGGACAAAACGATATCGAACGCGTCCCTAGTGGACGTTTTTATCACACTTCAGTCGTGCTCCTCTCAGCGCGCGACTGATCAGGTGTTCACAACGAGCCGCCGTAGTCCGTTATGTACCTGCTTGGTTCCCCGGCGCCGCGTGGAAGCACAAAACGAAGCCGTACCACGACACTTTCAAGAGATGCTGCGCGGTTCATTCGAGCCCGTAAAACAGGAGTTTGTATGCGTTCACCGGATAGCTGGTTCATTGGGCGATCATTGTTGAGTGACTGTTTCGTCCACAGGCTGCAGGCGTTGCGCACCCATCATTGACAAAGGTATACCTCGATGAACAAACCCTAGACAAAGAGCAAGAGCATACCATTCAATGGGAAGCACCGGGCATCTACAGCGATACCTCCACTTGGCACTCGATGTCCTGCGCCCCACATTTTGACGGAGCCATACGACAAAGGATTAGCGGCGCCGACACAGTCAGTTCCATGCCCTCTTTCCCCCCCATTTACGTCATATTCACAGACCGTAGCCGTACTCGGGGCCTGCTTTCTAGGCCGGCCCTCGCGCGTCACGTAGAGCAAGAGAAACTGCCTGCCGACGTTCACCGACCGCGAGCGCCTCCCACACAGCGAGGCACCTTACGAAGTCTTGCGCAGGTATGCTGGTGAGCGTGGACACCGTAGTCTGTATTTCCGTCCGATAGCCTTTCTCCCGGGCTCCTCGTATGCAAGACTGCCCCATGCGGCGCGTGAGGGCGACGTGCTCTCCTCCTCATCCCGAAGGGATCGATCGTCAGCACCAGCAACTATTGTACTGACATCTCCCCAGGTGCTTATACAAACTCCCGCTTCATCCCGATATACAAGAACGTTTGCGTACAGAGCTTCCTGCATCCGTCAAGCGAGGTGGCCGTGAACTGACCTACGACGACTTGATGAATGGGACTACTTGCCATATCTCGATGCCGTGACCCTGGCGAAGTACGTGTTGCCAACTTGCACCTAAATGCCATAATGATTCGTATCGCGTCTGGGCCGTGGCATGCGATTTCATACCACTTCATTCATTTCGCTATGTCCACTACCGGCGCGAAGAGCGCAGTCGTAAGGCCTGGCTAGATCGTACGCATCTCCGTGCGAGACGGTATCAACGTTGACAAGGCCATATAGGGCCCGGATCTCACTCATCCTATGCTACCATGGTAGACACTACATCGTTATTAATCGGTATTGGCGCATGAACCGCAACTGTGGCGATTACACAACACGCCTCTGGAAGACGAGCGACGAGCGTACGTGCCAGGACGGTGGGCGACCTCATGCGCGAGCAACCAGCAAATACGCGCCGGCACTTGGGCTCTCGTCAACGAGACGTGGGTCGACGCGCAGCACGGTAGCATGGGTGCGCTCCGTCGGGAGGCTTGGGTTCACGAGCGATATCCCTCTGATTCATATTGCATTTGCGAACTTGATGGCACTGAAGTACTGAACACGTAGCTTCCAATTGCTCACATCCTCTCATTTACAGTAGTCTCCCGTGGGCAGAGTATCCAATTCATTCAACCTCCGCAGGCTCCGGATATTCTTGTCTGACCACCAATTCCCGAGCTTGACATTGCGATGAGGGCACGACCAGAGGGAGAGCGCACGATCAGCTTCTCCGGGGCGACAGGGACGCGCATCTTGTATTCCTCCCATCGGATGGCCGGATTCGGAACGGAGAGGTTCACCGTAGGCAGGATGACGCCCCGCTCAATGATATGGCACACCTTGCAGAGCGACGCCAGGAATGCGGTAATCTCGGTGTGGCTGCGAACAGCGTCAACACGGGATGTGCGGTCTCGATGGAGAATTGTCCTTACCCGATGTTTCCTTTGACGCTCCCAACCAGGAGCTCTGTGTCTCTTCCGAACCGCGCCCCTACCCAGTTTGCTTCTGTCGGATCCCCCGAAGCCGTGCCTGCGCGATGACGTTAACGACGTTAATCGGACAGTAAACACTGGTCGCCAGACACACCGGTCGCATGCAGCTCGATGAAATCCACGTCCTGCGGCGATCGCCGCGCTTGCGCGAAGGCACGCAACATAGCGTCCTGCTGCGCAGAGGCCACGGGCGCATTGACCGGTGCCAACGAACCAGAAGAGTTGACGCCGGTTCCGAGGATCTACTCCCGCCGTGTGAGAAGGGCAGCGCCGGCGATCTCGAAGCAAGATAGTCTCACTGTAGCATATATCTTGTCGTGATCGCGTAGCGCCGCATCCAGAGGCTTCAGCACGATCGAGACGACCGCTTCGCCGCGCCCAAAACTGTGGGTGCATATGTGAGAACTAGCTCATACAATAAGTCGACGAGACACGTTACCCGTCAGCGGAGGCATCGAACGGCTTGCACTTTCCATCGGGAGACAGAATGCCTCCCTGTGAGTACATCAGCCATTCCGTGAACCTATAACGGGTGTCGGTTCATTCACGCTACGTAAAGGTCGCATGCACGCGCACCTGTGATCGACCTGGCAGCCTCCAACAACAGCCGCTTCACATTCGCCATGCCGCGATGCTTGTACGGCCAGATGAGTCGCATAGAGCGTCGAGCTGCACGCCGTGTCGAGCGGAACCGTCGGGCCTCGGAGGTCGAGGTGATAAGAAACACGGTTCGCTACCATAGAAGGACCGCCGGAGAATGCCCCGCGGGCTTCCGTGTCATCCTAACATAGTTATCCCAGCGTGACATCGTACAAAATGCCGTCGTCACCCACATGGCCAGACACCGAGAACATGTCATGGGCAACAGCCGACATATAGCAACCCACGTTGCGTCCTCTATAGTTGATGCCCGATTCGAGCAATGCTAAGAAGGTACTCTCCAGGAGCTTTCGAGTGCCGACATTCATAAGTCGGCCATCCTTGCTCGTGATACCGAACTCGGTAGGGTCGAAGACGTCGATGTTTTTCAAGAATGCACCGGTATCGGTCACTACTTGGCCAACAGCAGAACAAATGAATCTGTCATTAAACTATGAGTATCATACGAGGCAGGAAAGCCTAGAGTCTCACGTGTGTACATTGAAACGGTCAACGGGTATTTTCTCGTAGGCCTCTGCACCATACGAAAGGAAATCACCTAAGGACTTATAGTCAAGGTTTGTCTTGCTCCAACTCCCACTTGGGAGTTCCGCAGAAATGCCAACCTGTTTGTAATCAAATATTTCAGCTCGACAATCAATGGATACTATTCAACGTATTCGGCAACACTGACTCCGGCGATAGGGACGCGAGACTCATCACTGAGAACGGCTTCTGATCGCTCGCGAATGCCGTCGAGGACGGGGTGTTGAAATAAGGTCCCTGTGTGACTTCACGTTCCCTGTGTATACTTCTTAGTGCCCCTGCCTCTGCTATTTCTTTGGGATCCAGTCTCGTAGTACTCGGGACCTCTGTCCGGCTTGCATGATAGTTCCCATGGCGCGAGGGAACCAGTGCTATGCGTTGGAAGCCATGCGGATTGGAAGCAAGGCAAGATCAAGTGCTCGTGGACTTCGTTCCCCGATGCATGATGATATGAGGCGTCAACCTCAGGCTGTCGCACGGAGTAGTATTCCATACCTGGGTCACCGATGCGATGATGTACAAGTGCCATTGTTGAACGGGGAGCGGATATGATGGGCCTTCGATGTATCATTGATACGAGATTCGGCGAGATGTGACTTGGGGGTAGACGGGTGTGATATGCGGCGCTGCAAGTTTGATACCGGTCTTAGGCTTCGTCACTGCTGCCAGCGGCAGAATGTCAGATCGAAGAAACTCCCAACAAAGAACTCCGAGACTGTCCTAAGTTGTCGACCGAGAACTAATATGTCTAAAGCAGGATTATGTCGCGGGTTGCATCGGAAGCTGCCAGAGGAAGGCTCACTACTAGTAAGGCATCTACCGCCGGGGCGGCACCGCTTGGGCGCCAAGCCGCGATCCCGCTTACTGACAGAAACGGACTCATGTAGGTACCACCAGACGCCACCGCCGGGCACTCACGAGAGTAGTCCAGTTCAACTGCTCCGACGAACACCGTTAGTGCAGCGCGCTTTAATGGCATCCAGTCATACGGAGCAGCTGTCAGCCTGAGAAAATTGTAATGAACGAACAGTCACTCCTGTCGTGATACGAACTTACTACGTTTCGATGACCGCCAGCGGGTCATATGTATGAGCCTGAACTTGAAATGTTGCCGCATGGACATCGGGGCGTGGAATGAGGGTGGCCTCCGAAGGCTTTCCGAACAGCTGCCCTGACATTAGATTACGGCGCTGAGAGCATATGTACTAGTATATAGTTGACTCGGATGAGCACGGCACGGCCCATTCGCTACGTGGTACTTAGAATTACCGGTTGCCAGTGCGTACCAAGTGTGAATTTGTGCGAATTCGGCTCAATAAAAACGACGATTGTGTGATGGGATAGAGGTACCGGGACGGAAGTTATCGCCGCAGGGATGGGCGAACTTCGAATCTGAAATTCATCACGATGTTCACTCCATCATATCATCTGACGACCCACAATGTGTTGCCAACCGTTAGATAGATGTCATCCAAGGTGAGGCCTTGAGAAGAGATTCCGATGGGTCGCTGCTAAATCCAGTCCCGTAGAACTCTATCACCTGCCAGGAGCTATGCATCGCCAATAGCATGGCAGTGAGTCACATCGCACTGAACCTTACGTCGCGGCTCGATAGGCGTCCAATACGCAGCACAAATATCCCGCTCTCTCGGTATGTGGCGTATAACGAAGCCCTTTCTACTCCCTCAGGTATGGTCGAAGTTGCCCTTGTCACCGTCAACTTGGCGACAGTAGCCCTGGAAAGTGTCCTCTATGGAATATTCCTCGTCCTCGCTTCGGCTTCCGTATATTTCAATGTATCCCGGTCTGCCTCGGCCAGACGACCTCGAGGCCGTCGATGTTGGCTACTGGACCCAATTTCCGTAGGTTCGGCTCTCATTTCGCTCACGATAACCGGGGTATGTGCTACTAGTAGCGTATGACTATCAAATGCCCTGACATAAACACGTTACTAGCACTGGATCACGACAATCGCCCGGCTCTTTGATGCGTTTGTCAATTGCAACGGTAGTGCGACCCCACTGGAATACTATAGTACCATCTGGCTGTCAAGCGAAGCTGCCCAATCCTCTTTCCTCATCGCCACGCTTATCCTCTGTGATTCTATGCTGGTGTGTGCAATTCATCTACTTACACAGGACGGATATACGGAGTTCACATCGTGTCGCAGATATACCGTTTATGGGTTGTCTGGGGTTACAACTACGTGGTCGCTATATTACCGATGTGCGCTCTGCTAGGATTCTGCGGTAAGTCTCATGTGTAAACCTCGCAGGTGGTCATTCTGATGCGGTATTGCAGTCGCCGGACCAGTCGCTGTTTACGAACAGACACTTATTCGAGGCAGTATTTTCGCTCAGACCGTGGTGCAATGGGTCGACGCAAGCTACGGTTTGACATTTGCGCGAGTTACTCATCAGATGCTGCGACGGAACTGGAAGTCTAACTCTTGTTGTGTAGGACGAACATATATAGCACTTGTAAATGCTCTATATACTGTCATCGCGAATCTAGCTAAGGCTTCGACATTTAGGTGGGATTGCTTATCGTGTCTGGCTGGCACGTAAGGCGATAACTCCCTTCGGTGGCTCGTATCTCATGGTATGCACTATACAATTCAACCAATGCTTGACTGACATTCTACTTCAGGATATCCTCAGCACAATGGTGGAGAGCGCCACTTTATACGCGTACGTGGTCATGATTACTACTTCTCCTCCCTGTATCAAGCCAATATTTTTGCAGGTCGTATGCGATCTTCTTCCTCATCACATATAGGGCGAAAAGCAACGTACAATTCTTCACCATCGACACGCTCTGCCCAGTGACTGGTATAGCATTCATGCTCATCAATGTTCGTGTCGGGTTAGGCTGGGCAGCGCGGGGAGCTTCACTCATTTCAAGTTCACCCTCTGGCTCGAGCTCCCAGGCTGTACGCGGTGGTACTGTGCATTCAGAAATGGCGTTCGCCATGCGTCCAGTAACAGTCGACGTTATAACCGTTATTCATCAAGACATGGGCGATGACTTGGAGGAATCTCGAGTGAAGTCGGATTATAATACTACTGCATTGTAGTAGCTCTATGATCCATCATCCACTAGCAGTGGCCTCAGAATTAAGGCTCCAACAATATAATACACATACCATATATATACGGGTTTTACCCTATACTTTATACATATACATACAGGGTCTGTGTATCTTGTATATATATAGTATATATACAGTATATATGGTTTCAAGTATAGTAATGAAGGAGCTTCAATATTGGTAGAAATTAGCCTACTATTGAGTACAGGGACTCATTATTGCAATGATTTGGTGTCATTGTGGAGAGCATGGATAGCATTGTATTCCTTTTGTCTTCAAACATGTGCTTACAGCATACTAGGGAGTGGAATCCTATTGAGTGAACTACAATGGCCTCCAGCTGATAAGCTGAGGGCTCATGTAGGCTTCTGTTAAGTTATTAGGCTGTTGTTCATGCTCATAAAAACACCTATGACCATTGTGAATGCTATCACAATTGACCTACAATTCAAATTTGCCTAAGGTCAACAGGACAGTGTCCAATGTTGCTTTTTAACAGTCATTAGACTTAGGTTCTCAATGTCATAGATGCTTTTTCAGAGCTAGACACTGATTCTATGGATCAGAGACAGTGAGATTTGGGTCATAAATATCTGGACTTTGTGCAAAGGGGATCCTCAATACATCATGGAGTACATGGCAGAGCTGGTCATATAACATAAACTTTCTTAATTGACTACAGAGGTACTAGATGTGATGACATTTGTCTTTCTGGAAAAAAAAGTCATGACATATGCATGATACATGAGCGATTCTCATGGCATTGCATCAGCCGGTAGGTTGAGTATCTTGGAATCAAACTGGTGTGGGTGTAAGCATGCAGAACAGCACATGTAAAAAAGTATGAGACTGGCATGTCTAAGCTTACTCATAGGCAAGGATTAGGCCTGAGTGTTATTGGTGTGATTGAATCTAGACAGCTACTGGAGCATCATGTTACTAAGTGATGCTACTATGTGATTGAACATCTACAAGAGAAGTGAAGCCACATATAAACCTTTGTGACATCTCATGTGACTTTAGCCAAAATCAGCAAGTACATCATCATTCACTAGTATTAGGATTATGCTACACAGTATTTAGTACAGTATAGATACCCATATCAAGGCTGTACAAACATTCTTCATCATCTTGACCACTAGCATGTACTCTGGTTTATGATGGTTTGAGGATTAAGTAGGGAAACCAAATGACTATTGTAGCTGGAGATCATACTATATAAACTGTATATATACAGTATATATACAATATAATATAGTATACTATATACATACAGGTTTTGTGTATATGTATATTATAGAGTCAGAATTCATTCAATTGCTTTTGATCCTCATCACCCAATCCGCGAAGCTTGACGTCCCTCCGAGTGATTGATTGTACTTGCCCACATACGAGTTGGGCCGCTGTCACAGACATGTAACAAAGTTGATACACGGGCGGCTAGCTACAAATGTTGTCAAGTGATTGCACATCACGGGATGTAAGAAAACCTAGAGGCATCATGATCCGTGCCACATACAAGAATAACTCTGTCAGAGCACCTCGGCTTGACCGAGGCTATGTAGCTTGGAACGCGTGCGCACAGCGGCACTATACATATGTCGGTTTACTTAGTGTGAACACCGCCGGCAGCCGCTCCTCCTGAGACATTGTGTAGTAGGGAACCATCCATTGTCGAGAGATAGTACCACTGCCAGCATGTCTTGGATATTTTGTACTTGTTCACAGGTCGTAAACTCTATATGGGCACATGGGTGTTGGCGTACCTGACCATGAGTGGCGGTGGGCATATACGTGAGTACACATTTGCGGAGGATCATTATATTCAAGATTGGATTCACATCCGAATTGGATATTGAAGGTTCGTGTTACGGCGCTGATCGAACACTCGGATGCTTTCCACAGTACATATGGAGTGCTATTGCAGTTTTGGGCATCTCGGTATCTTCTGTGACGGTCTGTCACTGCAACTAGTACTAGATTGCTTTGCGGTGTCAGGTCAGAAATGGTTTCTGCTGCGGTTCACCGGGTATGGCAGTAATACTGGGCTATCACAGTTGTTTGTTGTGGAGGGGAAACACACAAGAGATACTATAGTGTTCTGCAAAGATAGATCAGTAGGCACAGTTAGTACTTACTACAAGCAGGTTGACTGCTCAAATGATCTTGGGACAATAGGCGAGCGTGGTGAGTATACTTGACGTGAGGCTGATTGTGGACTTGAGAGACGAGCGTGGCTAGACGAGAATGAAGTTGCTGGTTATGGATCACAGCTTACCCAAACAAGAGCACTAGTGTAGCACTTAGCAGAAGCTTACAGTCACACGTTGACTTTGGGCTACCGATACTAAATTGCTTGGCTAGGGAGCAGCTTGCGAACTACTCAGTGAGGTGGGCAATAAGGGGGCACGAGTTGCCGGGGTATTGCTCTCCTATGTACTTGCTTGCCTGCTCCCTGCGCCATGAGTCCTTATATATATGGGGAACAGGCTGATGTAATACTAATTACATGAGCTGACAAACCCTTAGTCGTCCAATACACAGCCTGAGTCATCCAAGGATACATAGCCTGAGTCATCCATCTGCACAGCTTGAGTCATCCATTTCACCGCATGAGTCATCCATTTCACAGCATGAGTCATCTGTTTCACAGCATGAGTCAGTCATAACACAGTGTGAGTCATCCGTCAACCAGCATGAGTCAGCCATTGGACAGCATGAGTCAGTCTTTGCACCGTGTGAGTCAGCCATTTGTACAGCATGAGTCAGTCCTTGAGTTTGGGGTGCGAACCTAGAGTGCTTGGTAATCGGGGTCCATGTGGCTGCGTCTCCTAGAAACTGGGGCTCTCGCTGATCCAGGAACCTGTTGAACTAGGAAGGCGCCTACCGGGCTGCCGGGTTCAATCACAGGCCGGACCGGTTCTATGGGAAGCTCCGGGTCCGTGATGTCATCTATGATGTCATCTGTGTGTTATCACATGGCTACGCCACTTACCTTGTATGTCGTGGGAACGTACTATACAGTAGCTTAGATAAGCGGTCTCCTCATGTATATAAGGACCCCAGTAGCGTAGCTCAATCCCCAGTACCTTCAGTCGAAGTACTTGCGTGTGCATCAAGCATCAGCAACCTTGCAGGTAAGTTGTGAGGGCGCACCACTGCGTGGAGCTGCCTGCTCAACAGGTTATGAGCCCTGGTCACTGCCTGAGTACTGCGCCTCACTGGCTGCGTCTCAGTGTGCGCACCAGCTTACCTGTGGCTTCGCCTTAGTGGCTTGAAGCCAGGGGGGGACTATGCGCGTACATCGCTGCAGGTCTTAGCGCAACTCTGTTGCTGCTACCCCCAGCACATGCACCATAGCGGTGGTTGCGCCTCTAAGGCTGCACTTGTCATTGAGTAGAGGGCTGACGACATTGTTGCAGTATTCCCCATTTACCGAGTTTATCACTTCAAACCCTCTACCAATGGCCTCCAACACCCTCTTCACCGCTGTCCCCATCCTCGATGGCTCCAACTACCGCGCCTGGGCTGAATCCATGTCGGCCTTCCTCATGGCGCAGGAGGTCTGGATCATTGTCAATTCGACCTGGCCCCAGCCTACTCTGGACACAGAGAATCCCTCAGTCTACTACGAGTGGCTGCAGCGCGATCAGAAGGCACAGGGTGTTATGGGTGGGCATCACTATGCTCACTGATTAGATTAGATTATGAACTGATAGTGTACATCTCATCTTATCTCGTTGTACCTAGCCACTTGACTTCCATATTGGGAAGTAATCCATTCTTACTGCTGAACCACCACCTCGTCCGTGTGCGACACCGCGCCGTCCGAGTACGTTCAGCATCCCCTCTCGGCTTGAGCTCCTCGCCTCGCCTAGGACTCCCCCTCGACCTGGCTCCTCGCCAGTTCTAGGACTCACCTCTAGGCGCGGCTCCTCACCCTGCTACGACGACAGCAGCGCTCCTCGCTCTGCTACGACGCCAGCGGGAGCTCCTCGCCTCGCTCACGACCTCACGACGACACTACGACACCTTCCCGGTCGCGCCGCGACCACCAAGCGTCGAGTTCACAGGCAGCCCGGCCCCCGAGTCTAGGGTTCCAGGCCCACGAACTCTAACATTGGTGGACACTCAGGGGACCGGTCCACTGCCCTGTGAACTCCCTCGTATATTTCTATTGCTTCTAAGTTTTATTCTAGCTGTTCTATATTGGTTCTAACCTAATGCCTTCCATGACGTGGCTACCACGGTCCTACTGGGACGCCATGTCACCAATCCGGCAACTCGAGCGCGCGTCCTCGTCGTACAGCGGGCGCGCACACGGTGCCAGCACCTCCTCCTCGACGAGCGCGCCTCGAGGCTACCCGCCACCCCGCTCCGCCACTCCCTGCGACTCGCCAGCACCCGCCGAGCCCTCTGTGCCCGTTCGGAGGCCCGTGGGAACCGCGCGATCGCACGAGCGCCCGAGCGCGTCGAACGCGCGGCCCTCGGCGCTCAACGCTGGCGGCGACCTCCTCTCTCGACCTCCACCACTCTCGCACCCCGGCCGACCCGCGACGCGTCAACCTGCCCCGGCATGCAGCCGTCAAGACAGCAACGAGGGTGAGCGATACCGCCCCCCTCGTATCGCTGGGGCTGCCGCGAGCGAAGACGCGCGCGCGTGCGCGCACACCCAACGCGAAGACGTCCGACCGCCCCGCAGCGCGACGCGCAACGAGACGGCCCACGACCACGCGCAACGCGGCACGCCGTCGACACGCGCGGTCTCGCCGCACCCGCGCGAGCAAGCCCGAACGTGCGCGCGCACCCAACGCGAAGACGACCGCGCCGGCGCGCGCTCCCAGCGCGAAGACCGTCGACCCGCCCGCCACAGCGCGACGCGCAACGGGACGACCCACTTCCACGCGCGACACGACGCACTGACAACACGCGCGGTCTCGCCACACCGCTGGTACGAGCAAGCCCCAACGCGCGCGCACCACACG